TTCCTTGAGATGCATACATCAAGACAAATGAACGGGATAGTTAGATATCTGATGACTTATTTCTTCCTGTTTTATCAAAAGTTCTGATGGCAAGTACGAAAGCGTGTATAAGTGAGTGATTGATCAAAAGTTTTATGTCGTAGTGGCCTTGTTTCAGTCACATAGCGTTTGGTCTAGATCTAACAACGCTTATAACAGTAACCACAGTCACTGGATTCTGGCATGCCCAAGGGAGGTAACTCTATATGGCGAATAACGGCGCCTCAGAAGACCAGGCCACCCGTGCCCCCATATAGCGACGAGAACACGTTTTGGACATCAAAACGCTTGTTATAGCATGTATATATATGCATGTAGATATAAGCATGAAATGTCAACGCCAGAGACTAATCAGATTCTAGTGGGCGTAGAAGGTAAAAGAGGTGACAGTCATATGAATAGGTCACTGACAATCAGTCATTAAAATCAGTGATGACACCAGGTGTTCACGAAAAGAATCAAAGTATCTTGTACACTTGATAGTTACTACGGCGATGTATTATCGACTAATAAGTTTAAATGGTAAACACCGAACAGTACAAAGACGTGATGAAGTGGGAATCTGGTGCTCGCTTTGTGACTTGGCTCATTGCGTACCATGCTACACCGATGGCTTGTGGCCTTATTAATTATTTCAGTCACTTGTTTGTCTGGCCCAGACGCGATTATGCACAGGCCACTGATACATGTATTCACTTGCAAACTGTTTTTGAAACGAGAAACGCCAGTTGCACTCGTGTGATCAGAATGCAAGAAAGTTTTTTTATAAAAATATTTATGTTAAAGTATTTTTTTCATTTGAAACACTTTTTTATCAATTCAGTTCTGTAACAAGTTTGGTTGAGGTCATATGGTATCTGATTTGACAAAGAAACACGTATTTTCATGATCGAAATATGGTCGTAAGTTGAAATTTCTCAAGATCAATACCGAGCGCTCTGCGTGAAGAGAGAGGTACCAAAATCGGAAAAAATCTTATTTTTATTACATTGGGTTCACAAACAGACAATCAAATGCTTTTTGTTCACATTGTGCAAATAGTAAACATCATTACGTCGTATGTTTACCAAATCATATGATTTTTACGGGTGTATAAGTCTTTAATATTACCCCTGTGATATTGAGTTTATGCATCGGCAATATTTCATCCACAAAGCGACCATGCGGTGTTATTACTACGTGTTCACAGCTACGTCACGTGTTCGTCAGTGGAAACTATAAATGATCCAACTTCCAACCAAACAAATAAGTCTCATACGGATGGCAAAGTGCCGTCGTGCCCTGTCTGTGCAGATCGTTTATATTGGCGATAACCTCTGGTTTCCCCGACACAGACTCGGGTATTTACAGGTTAGAAAATAGTTGTTATATTGCGGACATGGACGTGCACCATCTTGACTCCCAAACTGGAGGGAGAATGCTGAACATGGCTAAGGGGAGGTAACTCTTTCTGTGTTGCAAGTAGAGAAGCGAACAATCTTGGTAAAATCACCACTTTATATCTACAAAAGTCAAATCTCTCTGTAAAAGTAACAGAGATGAGTTTGGGTGCATTTTCAAATATAATTAACTCTCGGGGCAAATGCTGATGTGGCTACAAATAAACAATGGCGGTGTCCTTTAAATTTCCCAGATCAGAAAAGCAGGAACTTAGCATTTTCTTCTCTCAGAATTATTGTCCCACAGTTATGGTTAGGAAGCCACATTATCCCAAGATGACAATCCACAGCACCTAACAATTTAATAAATATACCAAATGCCTGTGTGGTGAGTGAGGGAGTTGAGTTTCAACAGCATTCCAGTTTTATCACGGCGTGTCAGCTTAATGTGTTAGGAAATCCCGAAGTGATGCAGGTCTCAGACGGTTACAACTTTGGTGAAACCCACGAGAACGGGAATGGTGCTGACAAACCTAGCAACGTCATCATGGGGAACCGGGATTTGAACCCAGGATCATAGGTTTCAGGCGTGCCCACGGGACAGCTAATTGCAGTGAGTTTTTTTACGAGTGAGCCACCCGTCCCCCCGTCTGTGAGGTGAACATGTATGCATGGATGCTTGGGTAATGTGGTACTAAGTCGTTCAGCATGGAAGGGGCGGTCGAGTAGCCTAGTAGTTAAAGCGTTCGCTCGTCACGCCGAAGACCCGGGTACATGGGTACAATGAGTGAAGCCCATTTCTGGTGTTCCCCGCAGTGATATTGCTGGAATGTTGCTAAAAGCAGCGTAAAACCATACTCACTCACTCACTCACTCACTCACTCACTCGTTCAGCATGGAGGGATAATGGCAGAGTCTCTTGAGAGTGTGTTAATGTTGTTTTATGCAGCAGTCAGCAAAATCCCATCCAGTTCATGGTGACCTAAACATAATCAAATCACTTGAATGTAACCGTGACCTTGTCAAGGTAGCGAGTTATTGTTACAGTAAAGTACGGTTATAACGAACTCAAAGGGACTACTAATTTTAGTTCGTTATAGCCGTAGTTCGTTATAAGCATATATACAGTATAACAACAGCAAATAGTCGGGACCACAAAAGTTCGTTATATCCGTCAGTTCGTTATAAGCATGTTCGTTATAACCGTAGTTTACTGTATTTGTTTGAAACCCGTAATAAACAACCAACCTTGTACCCATATCATATATGCAGCAGTTCTTCTGTAGTGTTCATATTAGTGACAAGACTTCAAATAGTGTTCATATATACAGCAGGAATTATGTAGTGTTCATATAAGTAGCAGGTCATCTTCTGTAGTGTTCATATATGCAGCAGTTCTTCTGTAGTGTTCATATTAGTGACAAGACTTCAAATAGTGTTCATATATACAGCAGGAATTATGTAGTGTTCATATAAGCAGCAGGTCATTTTCTGTAGTGTTTATATATGCAGCAGTTCTTCTGTAGTGTTCATATTAGTGACAAGACTTCAAATAGTGTTCATATATACAGCAGGAATTATGTAGTGTTCATATAAGTAGCAGGTCATCTTCTGTAGTGTTCATATATGCAGCAGTTCTTCTGTAGTGTTCATATTAGTGACAAGACTTCAAATAGTGTTCATATATACAGCAGGAATTATGTAGTGTTCATATAAGCAGCAGGTAATCTTCTGTAGTGTTTATATATGCAGCAAGTCTTCTTCTGTAGTGTTCATATAAGCAGCGAGTCTTCTGTTCATAATCATTTGAAAGGACCATTCGGGAACTGGACAACCCGAACCCACGGAGAACCATACCCAAGTGTTATTGTCGGTCTCGTACCCAAACAAATATTGGATAACCCGCACCCACTCGTACCTACTAATCTGGATGACTCGACCCAAATGTTGGATAACCCGCACCCACTCGTACCTAATCGACTGGATGACTCGACCCAAATGTTGGATAACCCGTACCCACTCGTACCTACTCAACTGGATGACTCGACCCAAATGTTGGATAACCCGTACCCACTCGTACCTACTCAACTGGATGACTCGACCCAAATGTTGGATAACCCGTACCCACTCGTACCTACTCAACTGGATGACTCGACCCAAATGTTGGATAACCCGCACCCACTCGTACCTACTCAACTTGATGACTCGACCCAAATGTTGCATAACCCGCACCCACTCGTACCTACTCAACTGGATGACTCGACCCAAATGTTGCATAACCCGCATCCACTCGTACCTACTCAACTGGATGACTCGACCCAAATGTTGCATAACCCGCACCCACTCGTACCTACTCAACTGGATGACTCGACCCAAATGTTGCATAACCCGCACCAACTCGTACCTACTCAACTGGATGACTCGACCCAAATGTTGGATAACCCGTACCCACTCGTACCTACTCAACTGGATGACTCGACCCAAATGTTGGATAACCCGTACCCACTCGAACCTACTCAACTGGATGACTCGACCCAAATGTTGGATAACCCGTACCCACTCGTACCTACTCAACTGGATGACTCGACCCAAATGTTGCAAAACCCGTACCCACTCGTACCTACTCAACTGGATGACTCGACCCAAATGTTGGATAACCCGTACCCACTCGTACCTACTCAACTGGATGACTCGACCCAAATGTTGGATAACCCGCACCCACTCGTACCTACTCAACTGGATGACTCGACCCAAATGTTGAATAACCCGTAACAGAGAGAGATGTCAGCTTACAGATTACAGCTATATGCTCTCTTGTGACGAGGCCACTTGAGTGAGTGAGTGAGTATGGTTTTACGCCGCTTTTAGCAATATTCCAGCAAATATCACAGCGGGGGACACCAGAAATGGGCTTCACACAGTGTACCCATATCGGGAATCGAACCCGGGTCTTCGGCGTGAAGAGCGAACGCTTTAACCACTAGGCTACCCGACCGCCCCTGAGGCCACTTGAGGACAAATCACAGACATTGATTGAGTGAAAAGGCTAATTGTTCATTCACCAATGAATGAAACTTATGAATGTTTGAAATGTAACATGAGAATTCTAGAACGGGTTTGCCATTTTCGTCGGATACGAATCTCCGTGGGTACGGATTGTCTAGTTTCCGGTCCATTCCTAGTGGGCTTGTTCAGTGATAATTTACACACAGATCAACGTTCAGCAAAAATAATTATGACAAACCAATAATATTTTCTTGTTTCGTTGGGGATCCAGAATTTAAGATGTCACATTAACATACTTCTTCCCTAGTAACCAGTGAAGATATATATATTTATAGAAATGTTTATCAGATGTTTTTCACATTTCCGGTCAATAATGAGAGTCTCTGCTTCACTGAACGTATTTATCATCAACCAATTTAATTAAATAAATGTATATATATATAAAACATCATCTGAATATGTGGCACAAAATAAGCACGGACAATTCTTCTATTTTCTATGGTTGGGGACAATTTAAAATATTTTGCAATGTTATTTAGCGGCAAGTCAGTATGTTCCAGAGTTATGCCCCTTACTTCCGTAATGGCTTTGTTCAGGCGCGAGGACAAGTTGCACAATTTTTGAAGTTTTCAGTGCTGCTGACATTACAATAGAAAGGTAGACTTCATTTAGTACAGGGATGGACTCATTTTATACTTTCAAACAAGTAACATAGGCTTGGTGTAGTTGACAGTTGGGCTAGAACGTAGTAAACATGACATAAGGATCTAGTATTGTGGCACAAGTCAACATAGAGAGCAAACAAGAAGAAACCTGTAAAGACGAGCTATTGAAAACGTATGAAATGTACGTCTCCGTACTTCATTTACACACATCAGGTTTCAGAGTTACCCTTGGGAGCCACCTGTCTGTTACTGTTATTATTCTGTTAGCCAAGGTAGGTTTGTGTAAATCCTACATTAACAAGCATGATTTTACAAGTAGCCTAGATCATGTTATGATGTAGGTGTAGCAGGGCGTGGAGTTATCCCACAGATGACGTCCTTCCCTTGTCAGCTTGCTGATGGGGTTAACCTCGGACAAGGCATGTGGACAAGGCGTCCGACCTCTGATCAGAAGGTCCATGGTTCGAATCCCATCACAGGACTCGGAAATTTTATGACCGCAACATAGGCTTGTATGAAATTGTGTTTCATTGGTACTGGTGCATGGGTTCCAGTAGTTTCTTTACTCTCAGGTTATTTCCTTACACGGATCATATAGATCTATATTTGTCAGTTTATCAGTTTTAGAGATATATAGTTACAAAAACATTGCATGAAATCATTAAGATTGGAGGTCACTTCCACATTGGCACGTTAGGTACTGGTCCCATTTTTGCTTATGGGTAATGCTACTAATATGTGTATCACATGGTATACTCTACTAAAAATGTAATTTATTGTCAGGTGCAAACAGAAATTCCGATCCTGTCCTTGAACTTGGTGAAAGCCTGGTTATGACAGAACCAAAGGGATAAAAAACTACCCGGTTGTGAAAGGGATACGAAAATACTGGGTCACGAATCTACCATGATACAAAAAGACCCATCATCAGTGAAGTAACATTATGACAGTCAAGACTTTGAGCATGTTGAGGCATATCATTTTATAGGGCCTAAGGCAACAAGGCAAATATGTTTTGAAGGGTCTGTTTTTAAATGATTGTAGTCATTAAGTTTTCTTTGGACAAAACATAGGCAGCTACTTCATTCGATCAGGCAATGCTCTACTTAAAGGACAGCAGTATACATATCTTCAGTTGACAATGTCATAACTTTGCTTCAGGATGCTTGGAATATAGGTATCATTGCTCCAACTGAGTCACTTGTTCATACAGGGCTTGATTTGATGCAGGTTTCATCATACCGAGTCGACATGGTGATTTAGTATATCCACCAAGGGCTACGTCATGTCGTCAAGAGGGCGCACCCGAGGTCGGCCTAGAAGGGGAGGTAACTCTTCAGAGTCTACGTCAGGAAGTGCCATGAGAAAACTGACACATGAGGGAGACGGTTTTGAAGCCTGGGTGAGGATACAGTACCCCTAGGGGCCTGTTGCACAATGTTATTGCCATGACTACACTGTGGGGATTCTGGGACAGAAGAGATGTGGTGCCGATTGAGGCGAACCTGGGATTAGAATCCATGATTTGTAGACCCTGGCAGGTCACAACTCTTTGTAGACAATTGGTGGATGTTGACCTCTTGGCCTCACGGCTTATAAAGTTTTCATCTTACTGAGCTCCAGATAACCTTTTGGTGTTGTGGGTATTTTACCCATGCATTTTAAAATCATTGGGTATCAGTAATTCTATCTGGGTATTCAAATTTCTGTTAGCCACTAGTTTTTACACATGTGGGTATTTAAGTCAAATATTTAACAACACTATTCATCTAGGCCCTGAAAACTGGTGTTGTGTGGGTTCGAAAGCTTTACAGGACTCAAAAATACCATGGTACTTCCACAAGAAAGTGTGATGGCAAATGATCATGATGTAACTGTCATCGTGGTGTTTGGCAAGGTTGATGGAATGCCCATTTATAATTTCAAAATAAGTTGCTGATTTGCTAATCGAATATGCAGGGTTACTTCACAATATTTTGATGATACGCACAAGTTTTATTTTTGTAGCGTATCTGTAATGTTTGTTGCGCATTTGATACGCTTGGATTATATTTTACTGCATGTTTCTGCATTTCTGATGCATATTTTACCATATACGCAGCTAATCTGGAGCTCTGATCTTAGGCTGTTAGCACAGTGTTGAGCCAGCCCGCTTCCGGAGGTATTACGTCCTCTGACCGAAGGTGGACTCTTTGATCCCAGCTGGAACTACATCCAGCCCAAGCTCTATACACACGGGGGCATAGGTGGCCCAGTCGTCTAAGGTGCCGCGATTCACTGTGCAGAGTTGTTTCCCTTGGGCACGCCAGAAACCTATGATTGTGGGTTCGAATCCCGGTTCGCCCCGATTATGTTTCTAGGTTTGTCAGCACCATACCCGTGCTCATGGGTTTCACCGAAGTGGTAAACGTCTGAGACCTGCATCACTTCGGGCTTTCCTCCCACATTAAGCTGACACGCCGTGATATAACTGGAATACTGTTAAAAGCGGTATCCAGTATCCCTTGGAACACAAATAGTATAAAAGGAGCTCTACCTACTTACAGTGTGATGAGAGCCCTCCAGCTTGAAACTAGTCACCAATACTTGACATTACTCATGGATCTTTGCCAAAACCCTATCCTTATCTATTATTCATAACTTAGTTTAGAATCTGCTGAGCCAAAAAGTCAGATTGAATTTAGATTTTGAATGTGTAACTGATTTTCAGTAATGAGAAGTCATTTTTAATGAGATCAGTATGGTAAAGAAAGCACCCCCTCTCATGGCTGTGCACACAAAACACAATAAAATACAGTAACCCTTGATCTTTAAAACTATATCAAATAAACAAACCCTTCTGATGATTTTTTAGGAGCTCATCTGAAAAAAACGTTTATAATTTGTTTGTTTTTTTGGACCTCTTACAAAGTAAAATTATATCTTGTAAACCAAGTGTTTAATGAGAGGGTCACTGTGTACAGAATTATACTGAATTAGCCCATGGCAAATGTTTGTTGTAGGGCGGCTACATGCAGGCCAAGATGCAAAAGCTTAATGACCAGTTCAACATGGCAGGGGGAACATCTGGCTCGGACATCTTTACTGGAATTCATGTCTATGTCAATGGTTATACAAGTAAGTTACACATACACTTGCATTAGGGCTGGGTCGGGTCACTCGGGTAGGGTCGGGTAATAGGGGTGTGGGTCCCCGGTTTAAAAGTGGACTCGACCCAGCCCTAACTTGCATCATACCAGATAACCGTCGGCCATGTTTATTTGATGCTTGTGTAGCAGGGCGTGGAGTCATCCCACAGATCCTGACCTTGTGAGCTTGCTGACGGGGTAAACCTTTTTGGTCTTGTGGACAAGGCGTCCGACCTCGGATCAGAAGGTCCGTGGTTTGAATCCCATCATGGGACTCGGAAACATAAAACATACTCTACAAACATAAGGAGACTGAATGGATTTTGTGGTCAGGCTAAGTGACTTGATTGACAGATTGTCATTGTATCCTGGGACATTGCTCATAATATCAATCTCTGGTTTGTCTGGGCAAAACTTACTTACAGTCCGCCGTAGTACAGCGGTAATATATTTTAGTGTAGCAAACAAATTTATGGCAAAAGTAAATTTGTCCTGTGAGAGAAATGCAAAGAGTGACAGGTGAAAAACTTTTGGTGCTGAATCTATGACCAGTCAGTTTGTATATAATGAAGCCTTGATTGATCAATGCAAAGAATTTGTTACTATGGTTAACTGTTGCTTTTGACATCTTGTGACAGAGCCACGTCTTGCTGATATTTATGTGCTTCTGTGACAGAGCCATCCTCCGATGAGCTGCGCCGTCTGCTGACCAGCCATGGAGGGACGTTCGAGCAGTACCTGTACCGGACGCGGGTCACTCACATCGTGGCCACCAACCTCCCAGACAGCAAGGTCAAGGAGCTGAAGGGGATGAAGGTCGTACGGCCTGAGTGGATCACTGAGAGGTAGGAAGCAGGGTTAAAGTGGTCCGACAGATGGAGTTGTGGAGGTGATGTGGATCACTGAGAGGTAGGGAGCAGGACTAAAGTGGTCAGACAGATGGAGTTGTGGAGGTGATGTGGAAGAGTGGATCACTGAGAGGTAGGAAGCAGGGTTAAAGTGGTCAGACAGGTGGAGTTGCGGAGGTGATGTGGATGAGTGGATCACTGAGAGGTAGGGATCAGGGTTAAAGTGGTCCGACAGATGGAGTTGTGGAGGTGATGTGGATCACTGAGAGGTAGGGAGCAGGGTTAAAGTGGTCAGACAGATGGAGTTGTGGAGGTGATGTGGAAGAGTGGATCACAGAGAGGTAGGGAGCAGGGTTAAAGTGGTCCGACAGATGGAGTTGTGGAGGTGATGTGGATGAGTGGATCACTGAGAGGTAGGGAGCAGGGTTAAAGTGGTCAGACAGATGGAGTTGTGGAGGTGGTGTGGATCACTGAGAGGTAGGGACCAGGGTTAAAGTGGTCAGACAGGTGGAGTTGTGGAGGTGATGTAGATGAGTGGATCACTGAGAGGTAGGAAGCAGGGTTAAAGTGGTCAGACAGATGGAGTTGTGGATCACTGAGAGGTAGGGAGCAGGGTTAAAGTGGTCAGACAGGTGGAGTTGTGGAGGTGATGTGGAAGAGTGGATCACTGAGAGGTAGGAAGCAGGGTTAAAGTGGTCAGACAGATGGAGTTGTGGAGGTGATGTGGATGAGTGGATCACTGAGAGGTAGGGAGCAGGGTTAAAGTGGTCAGACAGATGGAGTTGTGGAGGTGATGTGGATGAGTGGATCACTGAGAGGTAGGGAGCAGGGTTAAAGTGGTCAGACAGATGGAGTTGTGGAGGTGATGTGGATGAGTGGATCACTGAGAGGTAGGGAGCAGGGTTAAAGTGGTCAGACAGATGGAGTTGTGGAGGTGATGTGGATGAGTGGATCACTGAGAGGTAGGGAGCAGGGTTAAAGTGGTCAGACAGATGGGGTTGTGGAGGTGATGTGGATGAGTGGATCACTGAGAGGTAGGGAGCAGGACTAAAGTGGTCAGACAGATGGAGGTGATGTGGATGAGTGGATCACTGAGAGGTAGGGAGCAGGACTAAAGTGGTCAGACAGATGGAGTTGCGGAGGTGATGTGGATGAGTGGATCACTGAGAGGTAGGGAGCAGGACTAAATTGGTCAGACAGATGGAGTTGCGGAGGTGATGTGGATGAGTGGATCACTGAGAGGTAGGGAGCAGGACTAAATTGGTCAGACAGATGGAGTTGCGGAGGTGATGTGGATGAGTGGATCACTGAGAGGTAGGGAGCAGGACTAAAGTGGTCAGACAGATGGGGTTGTGGAGGTGATGTGGATGAGTGGATCACTGAGAGGTAGGGAGCAGGACTAAAGTGGTCAGACAGATGGGGTTGTGGAGGTGATGTGGATGAGTGGATCACAGAGAGGTAGGGAGCAGGACTAAAGTGGTCAGACAGGTGGGGTTGTGGAGGTGATGTGGATGAGCGGAAATAAAGTTTAAAGACAGAAAGTGAGTGAGTTGTGTTGCTGCTTTGAGTAGTATTCAGTTATATCACAGCATGTGCCCTGAGTGTGGGAACTGGACTTTTATAGTCAGTTAACTTTCTTGTCTTGGGAAAATGAGATGTGCTGACAGACTGTACTATTCAATTTAACTTCGAAATTTTACTGCATCTGCCATCTTGTTTTTTTTACTTATTGACTTTTGCCATTGACTTATTACATTTCTTGGTGTGAATAATGTCCAAACTGCACGAAATTGCTTAAAATGCAATCAAATGTTTAAAAAATTTCTGGGGGGGGCATGCCCCCAGACCCCCCTAGACGTTTCCTCTTTTTTCAGGAAAACCTGCTCACATCCCTGATTCATACATGTTTACTGACAATACTGGAACAAGTGACTAGTCATGTATTATTGAGTGGAGTGGGGGAGATTAAAGAGGGTCATGAAACAAAATGACCCAGTAAAAGGGGGTGGGGGTCGCCAAAATTTATTACAACTACATAAAATGGGGTCGGCAAAATATGTTATGGTTCTAAGACCAATTCCCCACCTTTAATAAACAGCCAGTCCCTTATGGAAACTTATTGCAGGGATAGAAATTATACAGAAAATAAGGATATCCTTTGAGATCAAAATTTAAAAGGTTTGAATTCTACTAACTGGACTAGCCTGGGGATGCCTTTCACTTCAGTCTAATAATTTAAGCCAAATTGTCTCCGAATAGAACATATTTCTTTCTGTCACTTTCATGGACTTCATTACAGTAAGGTCAGAGTGAACCAAAAGTGGTTTGGAATGGTGTGAGGTTGAGCGTAACAGCATGGGTATTGTTGAGGAAGATATAATCCTGCTCACTCTTTGATTCTTGTTATACTCAATCTCATTAAAATCAGATCTTAGTTCTCACTACCGCTAAACAAAGATCTGAGGACATCCCATTACGGGTCACGTCAAGCCTACCTTGCGCGAACTTTGGAATGACCAATCAGAAGGCAGCTTTCTCGTGCTTTAAGGCACAAATTTGAAATTGGCGACTACGCTTCGAAACATATTTTGACAAATTCTTGATTACAAATTTGAAACATGAACAAAACAAACATTCTGGAATGGCTAATAGATGGTCTAGATTGTAAGGATTCAGTCGTTAAACCAGTAACTATCGTTCGGAATACCCCATGTTAAAGTTTTCGAGATTGCATGATTAGAAATCACATTCCGACTGTCACTTTCATAATCTGGTAAGCGACACACTGATTGGTCAGATGAAAGGTCGTTCTGACGTGACCCCTTATGGGATGTCTTCAGATCTTTGTTCAGCGGTAGCGAGAACTAAGGTCTGATTTTAATGAGATTGTGTTATACTCAATTCCAGCGTGACAGCTGGCAAACTGCTTCCGTACACCAACTACCAGCTGTACACGGCACAGAGCAGATCACAACACGGCCTCACGTCCTTCACCAAGACCTCCATTCTCAGCCGATCATCAAGTGTATCCTCCACAGCCTCAGCAGCATCTATTGGCTGCACCAAGTTCAGTAACCATGGCAATATGTTAAATAAGCATGACCTTGACCCAATGTCGGATGAAGACAGTTCAGACGAAGATTTGGCCAACCTTCGAACGAAGGACATAGAAAATATGCATGACACCAGCAACGAGAATAGTCTGGACAATATTGATGAAGAAATATCCGGGAACAAGACGCACACTTCAGCAGGAAAATTAACAGGGTCTTATCATGACAAATTCACACACACGAAAATGGCCCGTGCAGGAGAATCTAATTTTCTGTCGGAATTTTATACTCATTCACGATTGCATCATATATCCACGTGGGGAGCTGAGTACCGCGCCTATGTGAACGAGCTGCAGAAACAGAGTGATGGGTCGTTTCCAGGGCGACAGAGGTTGCAGCAGTTTCACCAGGACAGTGTGTCCAGAACAGGGGGTGGTGACTTCACATCCGGCTCCTGCAGTGGGAAGCCACAGAAGATCATCATGCACGTGGACATGGACTGCTTCTTTGTGTCGGTCGGGCTCCTTGACAAGCCTGAACTCAGAGGTAAGGGTTTCATTTAAGAATTGCCTTCAGTATTTTTGTATTTATAGCAGGGGGCCCAGGTGGCCCAGTCGTCAGAGTTGCGTCCCTTGGTCATGTCAAAATGTCAGTCTAGTCGATCTCCATGTCAGCCCAGGAGGGGTTAATTTGTGTCAGATAAGCAATTTGCCATTTTGTCTGGAGTACTTTTCTCTGGCGAGTACTTTTTCTCTCCGTGGTCTAGGTAGAGTGTCTGCCCGGAGAGCGGAAGGTCCGGGGTTCGATCCCCGGCCGCGTCATACCAAAAGACATTAAAAGATGGTACTTGTTGTTACCCTGTCTGGCACTCGGCAGTAAGGGGTTAAAACAAGGACTGGTCAGCTCAGAGTCAGTATACTGTGTCTGAGTGGGTTATTCATGTTAAACTGCAGCATGGTATCTCAGTGAGCTAGCACTATCAATCGGCATCAGTCCGGACTAGTACAAGCAGCCACACACACACACACGTGCATGCACGTCGCTATATAAGTGCAATAATCTTGGACACGACGTTAAACCCAATTTCACCACACCTCACCTCACCTTTTCTCTGGCAAGTGTCTGCTTTGCTATCATTATATGTATGTGTATGTTATCCCCAGGTCTCCCAGTTGCCGTGACCCACTCCCGGGGGAAGGGGACAGCCAAGGAAACCCCAGGGTCAGACTTTGGCTTCGAGAAGAAGCAGTGGGAGCTGAAACGTCAACAAGGAGGGAAGAAAGGTCGAAGGTCCAATCATATCAGCAATGCAGGTGAATTTGCCGACTCGAGGTTGGACGAGGAAGAAGAAGAAGAAGAAGGGGACGACAATGATGGGAAGATGAGGGAAATTGACTTTCTCGTACCAAAGGGATCGACGGGGAAAGAGACGTTTCATTCTCTTGCTGAAATTGCTTCCTGTAGTTATGAAGCGAGAAGGGTGAGTTAGCTGTATTTGGTGTCACAGGGTTCCAATAATTCCTACATTTGTTATTTATTTTCGCTTACACTTGTGATTTGTCCAGATAATACTATATTTTGGCCTACCTTTTTGTAAATATCATCTTTTTTAATGTCAGATCTTTCCTGGAGTCTGTTCTTTAAAGGGCCATATGCATCATAATTGGATGCATGATAAAATATGGAAATATGCAAATGTCTATGAAAAAAGTAATGACTTTTTGACAAAACCGATGTTTTTCTTTGTTCATATTTAGTCTCAGAACTGAGCATTAATTAAATTTATGAGGGAGAGGTTATATTTTATTCCTCATTTGGTGTATCTAATTCTCTTTACCATTAGATTATGCATTGGTGGAGGTTGTTTTAATATACGTTAAGTAAACAAATTTTTATCCCCCCAGGATATTATGGGGGGGGGGAGTCATCACTGTCGGTCCATCCATCCTGTTTTTGTAACTTGAAAACCATGAAGGATTTTTCATCCAAACTGGTACATGTATTAACCAGGGCCTGAAGTGGTGCCTTTTGCTATTTGGGGGGCGGGGGCATTTATCGTCTTCTGATGACTCTTGTTTTTCTTTAACGCCACTTTGAATAGTACCACTGTTGTTTGATGTGCTGTCAACTTTATGTGGGAGGAGAGTTACTCAAAAGTGACTCAGGTTGTAGATGTTTACCACATTGTAGTGGATAGAACAAGAATCAGGAAGAATTAGTGGATCCTGACATAGCAAGGGAGGCTACTCTGCTTCCCATGCCCCAGATATACATAAAAGCTGTTGCTACATATGACTAATATTAGTAATAATAACCTTGTTCACTTTTTCTGTGAGGGGCGGTCGGGTAGCCTAGTGGTTAAAGCGTCCGCTCGTCACGCCGAAGACCCGGGTTCGATTCCCGACATGGGTACAATGTGTGAAGCCCATTTCTGGTGTCCCCCGCCGTGATATTGCTGGAATATTGCTAAAAGCGGCGTAAAACCATACTCACTCACTTTCTCTGTTACCATGGTTACAGGCTGGTGTGAAGAACGGGATGTTTATGGGGCCAGCCAAACAGTTGTGTCCCGATCTTGTGACAATCCCCTACAACTTCGACAAATACCAGGAGGTGTCTCGAGCTCTGTATGACACAGTAGCTAGGTAAGGCTCACATCATTGCAGCCTAATTTCATAGTCGTATGTGGCCAGTGGCACATTTTAGTTTATAAGGGGATGATCAGAGTATGTTCCAGTTGTCTGTAGATGCTATGGGGCGGTCGGGTAGCCTTGTGGTTAAAGATTTCGCTCGTAATGCCAAAGACCCAGGTTCGATTCGTGACATGGGTACAATGTGTGAAGCCCATTTCCTGTGTCCCCCGCCATGATACTGTAAATCGTGAAATTAATGCGTCTCCAAAAAAATGCGACCACTCGACCCTAGCCAAAAATGCGACTCAATATGAATGCGACACCCCCTCCTCTCAAGCATCAGTGGATTTCTATCTAAAGATGTCCTCAGTCAGGTTTAGAATCATCACCTTAATTCAACCATACATTAATCCAATAACACCAAATAGCACCACTTATTAGCGCTGAGTAAAGTACTTCCGCAAAAACAATACATGCGCGCTGGCTGACAGTATTGCTGGAATATTGCTAAAAGCAGCGTAAAACCATACTCACTCACTGTGGATGCTGAAGGGTTCCTTTAACAATGAGTCCATGTGACCCAACAGGCGATAGGGACCTTGTGGATGCTGGGAAACAGTTGTTCTCTGATGTCATTAAGAAATACATCTGATGTCAACTCACTTCCGTTAAAATGAACAATTTGGACAGACTGTAAAATAAATAATCTTATTTTTCTCTCACTAGTTTGTCTTGTAATAAAAACAATACTTCAAAACATCTCTACCTTTCATTCATCAGACATTGTATCTAAAAACTGCAATAATTATCTGAACAGTTATTATATCAAGTCTGACCATGGGACTTTTCAGAAAATGTGCCCAAATATTTTATTTGTGCATTTTGTATAACCGTGTTATGGGTTTTCTGACGCTTAAGAAACATTTGTAGTTTTCTCTCTAATCAACTGAACGACTGTAAGACATCTCATGCACTTATAAAGGTCAATTTTCTCCTAAAAACAAGCCATCCTCTGAGTATTTACAATGTCTGCGTGATGCTACAAACCTTTGTTATAGTACAGGCACTCGCAAAAAACATGGCCATCCCAAAAAGTATGACATCTGAAAATGTAGGATCCGACGATAATACAACATGGTTGTCAACTCCCACTCCAATTTAGTAAACTGTTACTGTCAAAATCATTTATTTCCATTCACAAACTGCCCCCAGTTTCACACACGACATTGAAGCTGTGAGCTGTGACGAGATGTTGGTGGACTGTACCGACCTCCTGGCCGTCACGGGCGGCACACCGGAGGAGTTTGCAACATTGCTGCGGAAGGAGATCTATGACAGGACAGGGTGTACTGCGTCGGCAGGCTTTAGTAAGGGTTTTACTGTTTATATCTTACCTCAGACCACAATTAGTTTCCGTCTTTGCTATCGACAGTGACATGACGGCCCACAACAGGCATGGGCTGTTCCCCTGTTGCATGCTGGCTAACCTGCCACTTGTCACTAAAAAAGCAAAATGTCAGCCTGGATACACTATCTGGATGTCATAGTAACCGCTGTCAACTAGGGCTGGGACAGGTAACTCGGGTACCCGGGTCGGGTGGGTACTGAGTAGGACCCTGGTACCCACCGGACTACCCGGACCCGTGGTTAATCACGTGATATATTGTTTAATGACAAAAATTATCTAGAACTCTATGGTTACACTACAAGTCACTAATGTTCGCATTTCTTTCTGACTATGCACCCATTCCTTCTAATTTTTCACATGGTTGAATAAAGATATAACTTAATTCAACTTCAGTGTCTAAATGACCAGATTGTTTAATACATGTATCCAAATGCGTTTTGCCAGGGCTATGCTAAAACTTTCCCAATCGGACATTTTGAGACATCTCCTGAGACCTACAGTGGGTACACGGGTAGGGTCGGGTAATAGAGGGGTGGGTACCTGGGTAGCAAATTTGGACTCATCCCAGCCCTACTGTCAACCATGGTCACCTGAAGCATCGAGCCAAAACACACATCAGCCTTGAATCTGGGCTCAACTCAAGGGAAGTCAAAACCATGTTCAGATTGTGTATCCAAAATATTTGCAACAAGTACAATGTCTAATCTGTCGTGTAAGCTATCACAAGTCACTCCAAAAAATTTGACACAGACCGGACAGCCCATTTAAACACAACCTCATTAAAATCAGATCTTAGTTAATCAGATCGCTACTGCTAAACAAAGATCTGAGGACATCCCATTAGGGGTCACGTCAAAACGACCTTTTATCCGACCAATCAAAGTGTTTCTTACCAGATCATAAAAGTGACAGTCAGAATGTGATTTCTAATCATGCAACCTCAAAATTTTTAACACGGGGTATTCTGAACGATAGTTACAGGCTTAACGATTCAATCCATACAATCTAGATCTATTAGCTATACCAGAATGTTCTTTTGTTCAGGTTTCAAATTTTTAATCGAGAATTTGTCAAAATATGTTTCGACGTGTAGTCGCCAATTTGAAATTAGTGCCGTAAAGCACGAGAAAGCTGCCTTCTGATTGGCTAATGTCGACTTCTTGTCAGTCATTCCATTGGTCGGTTAAAGATCGCGAAAAGGTCGGTGTGACGTGACACATAATGGGGTGTCTTCAGATCTTTGTTTAGCGGTAACGAGAACTAAGGTCTGATCTGAATGAGATTGATTTAAACAGGGCTATATATTCTCCTCATCTCCTTCCGGGGCATGATGAAACTTGGGGGGAACTGTGGTCTGAGGCCATCGGTGTCTGATGCTGGCATGGAAGTCGTATCTCTCAATGAACTTTTAATACACATTTGACTTTTTCTCCGCAACAAATGTAACATGGTTGTCAAAGTATTTGTCTTTGTGTTCTCAGGGGGGGACCCGTGAAGATCCGGGGTAGAAAAGGTCTTCAGCAACTCATGCATGCCGTAAAAGGCGACTATGCTTGTCGTAAAAGGCGACTAACACTTAGTTTTACATTACCAGTGCTACTTTGATTGCAGCATTAAAATACTTCTGAAATTGGACCTCTTAAAAAATCCAATTTTGGGGGGACAAAAAAAGACTTCTTGTCCTGTTTACTTGTCCTGTTTGGAATCCTGGATGTTGGTCAGCATGTTTGGATTGGGGACTGTGACATTGCTAAAAGCAGCGTAAAACCATACTCCCTCTCACTCATTATGACACCTTAAAAAGGAAGGATATAACTCTTACATATTTTTTATTCCAGGCAGGAATATTCTGCTGGCTCGTCTTGCCACGAGGTCAGCCAAACCAAATGGTCAGTTTTATTTGACCACAGATGCTGTTCCAGAATTCATCACTAAACAATCCATCCGAGACCTACCAGGTGTGTATGGTAACAGTAGCTGTGTAAACAATCAACAGAGTTTTGTAATAGAAGTTCAGAATGAACTTGATTGATAGGCATTATTTAGAAGTTGTCGGGTGACAAGGTAGACACAATGCTATGAATAACAACTTCATCAACACCAGAATGAAAGAGCACAAAACCCCCACCATTAAATCCATCTCGGACCATATCAGCAACTGTCCTAATCACAATATCAATTGGGACAACGTCCAAATCCTCTCCAACAATCTCCATGATTTCACTAAAAGAAAACTAACAGAAGCAGTCCACATTCGCCGCCACAAGCCATCAATCAACAGAGATCAAGGCTATTTCATCCCATCCGCCTACTTTGAACTCATAAAGCAATAATCACTAATCCTTCCGCCTATGTGTTCTCTGACAACGGTATAAGGATCTACATCGAAACGTCGCTTTTTACAGTATTAAAGAAGTTGTTATCCATAACATTGTGTCTACCTAGTTCAGAATGAAGTTGATACTCACATTTCTCAATTGGGAGACAAGCCTACATTGTTTTGAATTTCGAAGCATGTATTGTTGAATGTGTCGTCTAAATTTAGTTGAGAATCAAACACAAAAGCATTATTCTTTTTGTATAATTTGTAGCTTAATTTCCCACTGATTGGGATTGAGAAAGTGTTATGTCTCTACCGCTGAACCGTCATAGCTGTTATATAGTTTTCAGAGTTACCTACCCTTGTTTTGGGAAATGGAACCAAAGGACCTTATGGCATCAGTAACTGAGATGCCATGTGACGATAAAAGACAATGAGCTGGTTTTGGTTTGAAGTTCTTCCATAACCTGATATCTAGTAGAAAGAATAGCTCTTTTATGATTATTTCCTTTAGCAGTGATGTGATTGTTTCAGTCAAAGGCATGTTATTGTGATTTGAAACCTCTGATTGACCAATGATTACTATTCACATTTAATCACAAGAAAATGTCCCCTTTTTGAAAGAAAACAATGATGATATGTTTAACCCAATGCAAAATTGTCCAAAATCAAGGCAAAGCAGCAACATTTTATTATTTCAAGTATTTTTAAATACATAGAAAAAAATGTATGATTGATAAGGTCTTATGTCTTTTAGTTCGTTGGCATGTGAGACTCACCGACAAAAAACACCCTGAAATAAGACACAAATAATTGACCTTTGAGAATGTTATGTTTTTGCCCACAATGTTTTACAATGAGGTGAAATGGAAAAAACCATGAGATTTTATCACCACTGTTCGTAAGAAGTAGTGAATAATGTGTATAAATATCTTTATTCTCACAAAAAAACAATAAATTTTCTTTCATTATTGTTTTGCAACCATACTTGTTATGCTGTGACCTATGAGTTTGTTTTTCATTCATTAGTAGCAGTACTAACCTGGAAGTTAAATTTTTTTTTTTAATTCATATATTTTTTACCCCAACAATTTTGTAAACAAACAAGGAAGTAATATAAAACTAGAAACAATGTTTGATATGATTGACATGTGATCGAGGTGTTAACACCATGTTGGAGACATGGTGGAAATATGGGATCAGGAAATTAATTAAGGTAAATTTACGTGTCAAAGAAATATGATGCATGACAAGTTCTACTGGAAGAGTATATATACTTTGGAGTTGTTGTGTTTGCTTAAATGTTTCAGGTCCCGTGAAGATTCCGGGTTAGAATAGACCTTCAGCAACCCATGCTTGTCGTAAGAGGCGACTAATGGGATCGCGTGGTCTGGCTTGCTGACTTGTTGATGCATGTCATCATATCCCAATTTTGCCGATCGATGCTCATGATGTCAATCACTGGATTGTCTGGTCCAGATTTGATTATTTACAGATCACCATCATATAGCTGGAATATTGCTGAGTGTGGCGTTAAACAACAAACGAACAAACAAACAAGTAAATGTTTCAGGAACTCAGTCTAGAAGAACAATATATATGCTTTTTCTAATATTTTTATTAATTCCATTGTTTTGGCAGATCACTGAATCAAGTACAAAAAAAAAAATGCCTAAGCTTAGAGACGTGTATTGCTTTACGTTCTCAAGCACACAGTCAGAGTTTAGTCCTTTAGGTTTGCCACTATATATCTAGGAACACTCAAGTGTCACTTGAGTTGAGGTGGGCGTGACCAAAATGCAAAAGTCCTATCGGCAAAAAAATATTTCCTGATCCCTGTTTGCCCGACTCTGGAAATTGTGGGTTGGAATTCCAGCTTCCATGATCCTTGGTTTGTCAGCACCTAACACATACTTGGGAGTTTCACCAGATTGGTTAACCTAGGACCAATATCAGCATAGGCTTTCCTCCTACGATAACATGACACGCTGTCCTAGAACTGAAGTACTGTTCAAAGGGTCAGATGTCGGCCTGGTGGTTAAACAATGTGTGAAGCCCATTTCTAGTGTCCCCCGACGTGATATTGTTGGAATATTGCTAAAAGCGGCGTAAAACCATACTCACTCACTCACTTTACTCACTTGGTGGTTAAAGCATTATCTTGTCACGTCATTGACCAGGGTTCCTTTCCCACGGGGGTACAATGTTTGATGTCAATTTCTGACATCCCCCGTTGTAATATTGCTGGAATATTGCTAATATTGTAATAAGTGGCAAAAATCAGACTCACTCACTCACTCACTCACTCACTCACTCACTCACTCGCTGGAATATTGCTAATATTGTAATAAGTGGCAAAAACCAGACTCACTCACTCACTCACTCACTCACTCATTCACTCACTCACTCACTCACTCACTCACTCACTCACTCACTCACCCACCCACCCACTCACTCACTCACCCACCCACTCACTCACTCACTCACTCACTCACTCACTCACTCACTCACCCACCCACCCACTCACTCACTCACTCACTCACTCACTCTGTGATTCAGGTGTTGGGTACTCCATGACCAAGAAGCTCAACACCATGAGTGTGACCACGTGTGGGGATCTCCAGAAGCTGACGCTGGTGCTCCTTCAGAAGGAGTTCGGCCCCAAGACGGGACAGTCCCTGTACAAAAACTGTCGTGGACAGGACGACCGCCAGGTCAAGATGGAGAAGGAAAGGAAATCGGTGTCTGCGGAGATCAACTATGGAATCAGATTTCAGAGGGTGGGTTATAAGGTCATTTATTTGTGTAATAAAAAGAAGGTTCTGGATCGTGAATAGTTCTTTGAAGTGAAGACGGAGCACACAATTTCATAAATGAATGAGTTTTGTTCAGTATACTCATGAGTCACAACTGCTTTTTCATTTGGACCACACCCATTTGATTACTTGTTCACAGATCCACCTGTTACATTTGGACCATTTTCTCAACACGCAAAAACTTTTTGCTATTCCAAAACAGGAAATGATCATGTGCTGTAGGGGTGAAACCATTCATCGGTGCACCGATGCATCGTGAGTTTTCATGTGACGATACGATACGTGATACGTTTTTATCTGTATCGATACAAGACGATACACTTGCTAAAAGAAATTAATTACGACTCGTTAGTCAAATATCACGAAATGTGCTGTAATTTGGGTTTGATGTTCACTTCTGAAAATAGCCGCTATGAACATTTGTCTTCAGCTAGCTTTACCTTTTGAACCTGCTCTGAAATATTTGACGTAAATATTCATATCGCGGTACGTATCATATTATGACCTGTGTATCGTGATACATATTGTATCGTGACCTTGATGTAACGTTTCACTCCTAATGTCCTGTAACCATTTATCTAAATTACCATTTATTTAAATGTAGAAATTTTGACTGTTTGATCTCACTCAATCACTTCAGCAACCCATGCTTGTCGTAAAAGGCAACTATGCTTGTTGTAAGAGGCAACTAAAGGAATCGGGTGGTCAGGCTCGCTGACTTGATTGATTCATGTCATTACATCCCAATCCCATCGTATCCCAATTGTGTAGATCAAGGCTCATGATTTTAATCACGGATTGACTGGCCCAGACTCAAATATTTAAAAAACGCCGTCATAATGCTGGAATATTGTGGCTTTAAGCAATAAGCAAACACTTCTGCACACACTTGATGTGAGTGAGTGAATTTCATAGCAACACTTGACACAAAAATACATTCTCGAAAAATTAATTACATTTTTTTTAATTTCATTTTTCGAAAATTTGGTGTTAGGAGATCCATAATTTTATTTTTAAAGTAATAAAAATATGTTTTTTCCTTTTTGAACTCATCGGTATTTTCGATTTCTTTTTGCTGACAGCATTCATGATTAATTAATGCCTTTTGACAGGGGTCTGAGGTGGAGAAGTTCCTGTGTGACCTGTCGGAGGAGGTGGCGACACGCCTCAAGAACATCAACATGAGGGGCAAGACGATCACGCTGAAGCTGATGATAAGGCGAGGGGATGCTCCCAAGGAAACGGCCAAGTTCATGGGTAGGCATTGACTACAGACTGAGAGTAGCTGGAATCACTCATCGTGATTCTGCAATACACATGGCAGGCAAGCCTTAGTTAATGTTATTGTTGTCGTCCTCCTTCTCCTTGTCATTGCTGTCATTGCTGTCATCATCGTCATTGATATTTTGTGGTAGCAGATGTAGTATAATTTTGAATATTTTCCAGCAACAGTAGTAGCTGTAGATGGGATAGTATCATAGTGATCATCATCATCATTTCTAACATATTATTATTATTATTATTATTATTATCATCATCATCATCATCATCATCATCATTATTATCATCATCATTATTATCATCATTATTATTATTATTATCATTATTATTGTTGTTGTTGTTGTTGAAGAGGGGAAAGAGGTACTCCCACTGTTTATGATGATGTTATTGCTGTCAGGAGTCAGCTTTGTTGCAGGGAAACATGGTACCCCAAAAGAGGGAGTTTGGTTAAACTCTGATGAAGCAAGAGACAATGACACTTTACAATGGACTGTTGAGAGTCTGCCCAAACCATATCATGTACTTGTGTGTTCGTTTGTCTTAGGTCATGGAATATGTACCAATGTATCCAAGTCCTCCAGCCTCCCGATGGCGACGGATGACGGGAAGGTTATCGCCAAAGAATGCATCGCAATGATGCGAGCCCTGAAAGCTCCCCCTGCCGACCTGAGAGGGGTAAGTATAAATAGCACTGCTTACTTAGTTCCAATGGCCATCTTCAGACCGGGTGTACCAGTGTATGGTCAAAATAACGACAACATTGAGGCGTTCACTTATTTCCTCTGTCAGACCCGTGAAGATTCCGGGGTAGAATAGGTCTTCAGCAACCCATGCTTGCTGTAAAAGGTGACTATGCTTGTCGGAAAAGGCGACTAACGGGATCGGGTGGTCAGGCTCGCTGACTTGGTTGATGCATATCATTGATCCCAATTGCGTGGATCGATGCTCATGATATTAATCACTGGATTGTCTGGTCCAGACTCGATTATTTACAGAGCGCCGTCATATAGCTGGAATATTGCTGAGTGCAGCGTTAAACAACAAACCAACCAACAAACCAACCTACTCTGTCAACTTCATGGGGTTTGTACTCCAAGCTTGTCATAAGAGCTGACTTAAAGGTGGGCTGGGATGTGTGACCTGGGCCCTTTCCCACAAAGTGTTAAAGTATAGAATTATCTTAGTGCTAAAATTGCCATCAGAGTCGGTTCCTGGCTTATGTTGTGTCATTGTTAGCTCGAAAACCAAAGGGAGAATGGGAGAAAAAGCTATGCATGATCGCTGTTGCTGTATTAAAAAGGCCCATTGCTTGTCATAAAAGGTGACCAGAAGGATTGAGTGGTAAGAATCGTTGACGTGGGACATTGCTCATGATATCAATCACTGGTTTGTCTGTCCAGCCTCATATTCCCAGGCCACAAACCATACTCACTCACTCATTGATTGTGCGTGTGTTGTAGATCGGAATACAGACTCACAGGCTAGAGAATACCACGTTGGGAGGGTGCTTAATAGGGTCAGGCAATCAGAGCATCCTCAGCTTCGCAGTCCCCAGAAACAGATCCATAACTCCAAGTGCAGCCTCTCCGAGCAGGGTTGTTGTCCCTCCCAAACAAGATGACCATAGTTCGGGGTTGAAGCAGGCAACGGAGTCTATCAATTTGTCAGATGAAGATATGACTACATACGTATCCGATGATGCGGAGGAGATGGACGATGATGGTGTTGGAGATGAAGGCAATGCTATTGTCTTTTGTTCTGGCAGTCTGCCAATACTGGAAGAACTTAGTCGGTGAGTGAGTGATGCTTAAGAGTGTTTGCTATCAATTTATTCAACATGCTGATTATTGATAGTAATGTGATAGAATCGGTTTGGTTTGTACACATGAAGATCCAGGTTAGAATAGATCTTCAGCAACCCATGCTTGTCTTAAGAGGCGACTAAGGGGATCAGGTGGTCAGGCTCACTGGCTTGGTTGATGTCAATCACTGGATTGTATGGTCCTGACTTGACTATTTGCAGACCGCCACCATAGAGCTGGAATTATGCTGAGAGGACGGCTAACTTCAAATAAACATTATTTTGTTCATTGACCACCACTCCAAATGAAACCAAATAAGCAAATTACCAACTTTTGTTCTCATCACAGTTTTATTTGCCTGAGAACATTAGTTTATGTGAAGAACATTATGTCCAAAATGGAGCTGTTTTATCTGGTGTATATTTATCTACATTGTTTAAAAACCTCTGTTCATATTTTCCTTACAAACCGGATGTTGAGTCAGAGTTGCTTTCCTTATATTTGTTACCTTATTTCTTCCCATCAGTATAATATCATCCTAGACAAGCTACAGCTTTATGTGTTTTTCAGATTTGCAGAAATTCTGTTCCAGAAGTTTAATTTGGAACCAACAATTGTTAGACAGAAGATTCAAATTTTATGTTATCTGAGCATCACATACTCAATTTCATTTGCAAATCTGCATCTGAAAACTTTCAGGTGGTCATCGGCATTGTATAGTTAAAGGGACAGGATGTCAAGTGTTCTGAAGCTTTGTTGATAACCCCCGTGCTTACATTGCTCTTCTTGCCTTATTCCGTTTCTGATCCAGTGACCACACTGCAGGTGTATGCATTTAAGCCATAAAAATCTAGAAGATACCCGGACTTTAAATTCTATTGAATTCTATTTTTCAAAGACCCGTGAAGATTCCGGGGTAGAATAGGTCTTCAGCAACTCATGCTTGCCGTAAAAGGCGACTATGCTTGTCGTAAAAGGCGACTAACGGGATTGGGTGGTCAGGTCATCCATCCCAAATGCGTTGATTGATGCTCATGATATCAATCACTGGATTGTCTGATCCAGACTCGATTATTTACAGACCGCCGTCATATAGCTGGAATATTGCTGAGTGCGGCGTTAAACAACAAACCTACCAACCAACCTATTTATCAAAAGAATTTAGGCATCAGTTTGAAGCACACAATTAACAGTTTATTTTGTATTGATTTTCAGTAGAAAGACGGCGAAGAGGACGCCACCGCCTCTCCCCTATCTGCCAGACTTCGGATCGCCCGGGACACCTGTCAGGAAGCAGACGGTGGAATCTCACAACGAGGCTCACGACTACTTCCCTTCTCCCTCACAGGTACATGAGGGTTGACGGGTGGCCCAGTCGTCTAAGGCGCCGCAATTCGCTGTGCAGAGTTGCATCCCTTGGGCATGCTAGAAACCTATGATTGTGGGTTCGAATCCCGGTTCGCCCTGATTAGGTTTCTAGGTTTGTCAGCACCATACCCGTGCTCGTGGGTTTCACCGAAGTGGTAAACGTCCGAGACCTGCATCACTTCGGGCTTTCCTCCCACATTAAGCTGACACGCCGTGATATAACTGGAATACTGTTAAAAGCGGCGTTAAACCCAACTCACTCACTCACAGGTACGTGACTAGTGACTTGGGCGTGACATCCCTCTGTACAGGACTCGTGGCATGTCAGGGTGGTGTGGGAGGAAGCACCCCATAGATGTCTACCACTTTGGCTAAGGGAGGGTGATGACATGTCAAAGATCATAATCAGCGGGACTCTTGGATTTGAACCTGAAATCTGTGAATTGTGGAGGCACCTTGACCCAATGGGCCACCCATTACCTTGTGCAACACACATGGGTGTAGCAGGTGTGACTATTTCAGGTGTAGCAGGTGTAACACATTCTGATTACTGGAACATGTTCAGGTGTAGCAGGTGTAACACATTCTGATTACCAGAACAAGTTTACGTGTGGCAGGTGTACCTGACTCTGATTACGGGAACAAGTTCAGGTGTAGCAGGTGTGAAACATTCTGATTCCTGAAACAAGTTTACGTGTGGCAGGTGTACCTGACTCTGATTACTAGAACAAATTCAGGTGTAGCAGGTGTGAAACATTCTGATTACTGAAACAAGTTTACATGTGGCAGGTGTACCTGGCTCTGATTACGGGAACAAGTTCAGGTGTAGCAGGTGTAACACATTCTGATTACCAGAACTGGAAGTTCAGGTGTATTGGGTCAGTCAACACAGCATCAGTTGACAACCCTACAATATCACCTGTTCCTGTAGACATTAAGAAAGGATACCAATGTGTGAAGTTGCATAATTTCAGATTGACCCTGAAGTGTTGAAGGAGCTGCCCCCAGATATACGGGCACAGATTGAGAAGGACATGGGCACGAAGAGGGCACAGGCCAAGGTCAGCAGTGTCCCAGCCAATCAGGGGGCAGATGAAGTTCCAGGCTGTTCTCATTGGCCATCTCAGGAAGCAGCAGTGACCAATGAGGATGAGGCACCCTACTCGCCAGAGGCAGGTCCTTCCACTGTTGAAACAGAAGGTGGAAGCAGCGTGGAAGCCCTACCCTCCTTCTCTCAGGTACTTCATTTTGAGGCAGTGGGGTAGCCTAGTCCGTTACCTTGATGACCTGGGTTCATAACCCTACAGTGGTACATCAATCAACGAAATTGGAATATGATAACATGCAACAACCAAGGCAGCGAGCCTGACCACCTGATCCCGTAAGAGGCGACTAACGGGATCTGGTGGTCAGGCTCACTGACTTGGTTGATGCATGTCATCGATCCCAATTGCGTGGATCGATGCTCATGATATTAATCACTGGATTGTCTGGTCCAGACGTGATTATTTACTGCTGAGTGCGGCGTTAAACAACAAACCAACCAACCAACCATATTGATATTGGTGAACTTTGGTTTTCTATTTTAACACAAACTTTCACTCTGTCACAGTTGGACATGAGTTGTCTTAACGCTCTCCCTGAAGACCTGCAGAAGGAAATCCGTGACGAGTACCTTCGTCAGGGCCAACATTCTGCAGAGCCAGCCGAGGACGACCAACCCCCTCTCATGCAGCTTCAGCAGGCCAAGTCCCCGGCCAAGGGGAGAGAGTCACCTCGAAAGTCGCCCAGTAAATCACCGGGGCGAAGCAGGAAAACCAGTCCTGTCTTCAAAGTTCCCAAAGGACGCGCAGTAGGTCGTAAGACGAAGAAACTGAGTCCGAAGAAGCTAGAATTCAGAATACAGCCGAAGATCACAACAAACTATGCAGTGAGGGTTAGTGAGGACAAAAATATATTGTCATGAGAACCATATTTTAATAATGACCAGGATTTTTCCCTTGTTTTTTCTCAATAGGCAATTCAAACTTTTCAAAGGAAAGATTTTTCTTCTGTTAAAATCCAGTCAATATTGATATTCACAAAACTGAGAAAATATTGAGATTTTTTAACAGACAGAACCAGAATTTGTTATTGAATAAAATGCATCTTGTTGCATGTTTTAATACCCAAAAAATATTAATGATGGAATTATTTTTACACTTTACTGGGTATATAAGATTTGTTCATGTCACTAAAATCACTGTTAAAAGTCATTTTGTTTCAAATGCAGCAGTACGCCACTATTTGACTGATCTATTAATGACACTAAAATATAACCAGTTGTTTTTTAAATGAAAAGCTGTGCTTAGAAATTGTGAAGGATTGTTTCTCAGAGACCCCAAACCCAGAGAGTGGAAGCATTGATAGGATAAGTAACACAAAGATGGCATTTTTAATGAAAATAAGAAGAGTTTTTCACCAAAATAACATTCTAATAAGAGCCCCCTATTTCTAATTTTGAGAGCACCCTAGGCGCTTGTTACGTCAAATACGGTATTCATATATTTCTGAAACATGACCTGAGGCACTCTACGGAATGGTTAACAGGACATTAGCAGTTGGAGTTGTACACTAGCAGTATGGGTGCTGTATATGACATGTTGTAGAACTTAGCAAAGAGCCTACCAGAGTCACCACAGGCCATGCCCACGCCCACGCCCACGCCTGCCCCTCCCCCGACGGAACCTGATCCTGCGGTACAGGAGGAGCAGGTGAACCTTTGTGGAGCTGTTAGCATGGAAGAGGTCAAGCACCTGCTGGTGGAGTGGCTTGAGGCGTGTCCAGGTAAACAGGAGAAGTGGACTGATGAATGGGTGGACTGACAGATGGATGGACTGATGGATGGTCTGACGAATGAATGGACTTTTGGGTGGACTGACGAATGAATGGACTGACATATGAATGGAAGGACTGATGGGTGGACTGACGAATGAATGGACTGATGGGTGGACTGACGAATGAATGGACTGACAGATTGGTGGACTGATGAGTGGACTAATGGGTGTACTGACGAATGAATGGACTGATGATTGGGTGGACTGATGGATGGATAGAGTGATGGGTGGACTGATGAATAAATGGAGTGATCGGTGGACTGATGAATGAATGGACTGATGGGTGGACTGACAGATGGATGGAGTGATGGGTGGACTGATGGATGGATGTAGTGATGGGTGGACTGATTGGTGGACTGGTGAATGAATGGGCTGATTGTTGGACAGACAAATGAATGGACTGATGGGTGGACTGACGTATGAATGGACTGACAGATTGGTGGACTGACAAGTGGACTAATGGGTGTACTGATGAATGAATCGACTGATGGACTGATGGGTGGATGGATGAATGAATGGACTAACGAATGAATGGACTGATGGATGGACTGATGAATGAATGGACTGATGGATGGATGGACTGATGGGTGGATGGATGAATGAATGGACTGACGAATGAATGGATGGACTGATGAATGAATTGACTGATGGATGGACAAATGATTGGACTGACAGGTAGATGGACTGATGGGTGGACTGATGGATGAATGGTGGATGACACCTGGATGGACTGATGGGTGGACTGATGGATGAATGGTGGATGACACCTGGATGGACTGATGGGTGGACTGACGAATGAATGGTGGACTGACACCTGGATGGACTGATGGACTGACCAGTCGGTGGACAGATTGACTGACGAATGATTGCAGTGACAGATGGATTGGTAGATTAGTGAAATGATCCATGGGTCCACTGACATATGGATGGGTGGGTAGATTGATTGATGGATTAACAGACAGATGGATGGACATACTGGATTGATTGATAGGTAGACATGCGGCATGTGAAGGTCAGATTATTTGGATCAGTGGATTGAAGGATTTGTTGGTGAAATACCTTGATAAGAGGGAGACCTTAAGTTGTTGTTTTTTCGGATTCCGGGGGATTAAAAAATATGCGGGCATTTTCTCTTTCAAAGATACACAAGTATGAAGACATTAGGAAGTTTAGTTGGGGTCAGTTTGCATGGTTGTCACCGCAACTCAATCATGATACTGGTTTGTCAGCACCATGCCCCTGATCGTTAGTTTCATCAACGTAAACGTCCATGAACTTCATCACATGGTCCTTGATCCCAAATTAAGCCTGAAGCCATGATGTAACTGATAGACTGTACAAAGTAACATTAAACTCCCCCTCTCCCATTGCAAACTGACAAGCCAAGATGAATGAATGGACTGACGAATGAATGGACTGATTGGTCAACGGATGAATGAATGGACTGACGAATGAATGGACTGATTGGTCAACTGATGAATGAATGGACTGACGAATGAATGGACTGATTGGTCAACTGATGAATGAATGGACTGATTGGTCAACTGATGAATGAATGGACTGACGAATGAATGGACTGATTGGTCAACTGATGAATGAATGGACTGACGAATGAATGGACTGATTGGTCAACTGATGAATGAATGGACTGACAGGTGGATGGAGTGATGGGTGGACTGACGAATGAATGGTGGACTGACACCTGGATGGATTGATGGACTGGCAAGCCAAGATATACCTGAAATAATGTTAAAAGTGATGTTTAATTCAAAACATCAACGTCAGGGAATCAGGTTTTCCTCCCACAAGCTGATATGACATTCTTCTCAAACTGGCATTATATACAACCCACTCACCCACAGTTTGTTTGTCAGATGTCGAGAGCATTTCTGAATAGGCTGGCATTTCCTTTTTCATGATATTCAGAAATAGAAACATCATAATGGCTATTGTGGATGTCAGGGTACGAAATGGTTCTTGTAATTCAGTAGGTTGTATTTCATACGATATTATGTGTACAAGTCACTGTTGGAGGTGTGTGGTGTACACTGATGGAGATGTGACGTGTACACTGTTGGAGGTGTGTTGTGTACACTGATGGAGGTGTCACTGTGTGGTGTACAAGTTAGGGCTGGGACGGGTTACTCGGGGCGGTTGGGCCCTGAGTAGGACCCGGGTACCCACAGGACTACCCGGACCCGTGCTTAGTCACGTGATATATATTGTTTAATGACAAAACTTATCTAAAACTCTATGGTTACACTATAAGTCACTAATGTTCCCATTTCTTTCTGACAATGCACCCATTCCTTCTAACTTTTATATGTTTGAATAAGGATAAAACTGCATGCATTAAACTTCAGTGTATGCATGAGCGGATCGTTTTACACGTTCATCTATATACATTTTGCCAGGGCTATGGTCAAACTTTTCCAAATCGGACAGTTTGTACCTATCTCTAAATATCTACAGCGAGTACCTGGGTAGGGTCGGGTAATAGGGTGGTAGGTACCCGGGTAGTAAATTTGGACCCGTCCCAGCCCTAGTACAAGTAACTGATGGTGTGTGTGTGTGTTGCAGAGCCCCAGGAGGAAGACATCAGTGTGATGCTGGAGTACCTGGGTCAGCTTGTCCTGGACCATAACCTGGAACGGGTCGACCTGGTCCTCAAGTTCCTTAACAGGTCAGTGAGTCGGGAATGTGTTACATTTGACAATTAGCCTCTTGACCCTGTCACTCAAACGACATGATTCACCAATCAGCAAGTTGGAAGTTCTACAGAATACACAATTCTGTCTGACTACTTCATGCCTATTGGGGGGCACGGGTGGCCCAGTCGTCTAAGGCGCCGCGATTCGCTGTGTAGAGTTGCATCCCTTGGGCATGCCAGAAACCTATGATTGTTGGTTCGAATCCCGGTTCGCCCCGATTATGTTTCTAGGTTTGTCAGCACCATACCGTGCTCGTGGGTTTCACCGAAGTGGTAAACGTCTGAGACCTGCATCACTTCGGGCTTTCCTCCCACATTAAGCTGACACGCTGTGATGTAACTTGAATACTTTTAAAAGCGGCGTTAAACCCAACTCACTCACTCACTCATGCCTATTGATTGGATCATCTAATAAAGGTGAGCTTCTGTACCTAACTTTAAGTACTTTAAATTATGTTCTGATTTCTGTTTCAGGAAAATCAGGAAGCTTGCCAACAAACATTGGCGTGAATCATTCAAGAGCATTCTCACAAGCACACAGGAAGTGATCAAATCCGTCCATGGATGTCTGCTCAATGTTGATTGGCTGCTTGCCAGATGATACTATACTAATAATAATCTATTTGTATAGCGCCTAGTTCCAGCCAGGCTTCTCACAGGCCCTTTACATTATTACCCGGGTCAAAGGATCAGTCTGCAATCCGATTACATTCTCAGCTCCCTTGGGAGTATATGACCCAAGCTGCCTGTGTGACACTTGAAAGTTACCATTTACAGCTGGGTAGACAGGCATATTTTCAAACAAAGTCACTTGTCTGAGGAGGCACCATATGTGCTACATGTGCTTCGGTGGGGGGAGGGGGGGGGGCAGGAAACTCTCAGGAATCAAGATGCTGAGCATGGTCACTCATCCAACGACCGCGACCAATGTTGCTTAATTGATTTGTGACCTGTGCACTGTAAAGAGGTCCACCTGCCACCATATACTTATTGACTGATTGTGATAACAAGTCTTTTAACTGGATGGTGAAAAAGGCTTCACTGAAGCTGATTGGTCAACAAACATAGACGGAATATGCAGGACGTATCTCATGATGTTTTCATGAACTACCAAATTGATTGTAGAGTTTTAGAATGGCCTGAAAGCACCATTATATTGTATATACAGTGAAGTATATTTATTGTCAGTATGAAATACTGCAAATGTGACAGTTGTATTACAAATACAGGACAAATTTCTGTATTCAATTTCTGTAATTACTGTAAATCTTGAAATTATTTTTTTGCCAAATTAATACGAATGCTTGTGTGACCCTGACCCATAATGCGACCTCCCCCCCCACCCCACCCCACCCCACCCCACCCCGATCTCCAGTGGATTGATAAATATGTATATATATATCCTTACCTTAATCCAAATCAAACAGCAAATAGCACCGCTTGTTGTTGATTGTCATTTTGGAGACAAATGCCAAATTTAGTGAAACGAGCAAAGACCACTTGCATTTTTTGCATTTAATTCACTCTCGTGTTAATATCAAGATTTACAGTCTTGATTACATAAATACACATATATACATATGTATATCATGTGATCACTGCTAGTCTGGTTAGACTTGCAAAGGAGCACCACCTGTAGTAAGCAGATGGACACAACTTGACCAAGGTCCAAGGTAGTAAAAATACCGTATTCGACGTAATAAGCGCCCCGCTCTAATCAGCGCCCACAGCGATATTTGCTAATATATTGGCCAGTGAACAATCCTAATTAGCACCCCTTCCGATTGATCAAGGTACACAAGACATATTTATTCGCGTATAATACACACTCGTGTGTTATATGCACACTTAATTATGGGCAATTAAATTCTGGAAAAATATATCTGTCGTACATAAACAATTCAGGCTGTCAGCATAAACCACAGAATTTATCATTTAACTCGTTTCTTTCACTAAAATAATACTCTAATGAGAGCCCCCTATTTCTAATTTTGAGAGCGGCCTGGGCGCTTATTGCGTCGAATATGGTAGTTGAGAATACAACTGATGAGTTGTCTATTGTGTAACGTGTGAAAATGGTTCTCAGTATGAAATCTTCACTTCACTTCAATATTTTTACTCTGTTCCAGAGGTGCGTGTGCTCATAAACTCTGAGAATTGTTTTTGTGGTCTTCTATTTTCTTAGTGCTGTATCACTGTTGAATGCTTATATGATGGAAAATATAGACACCTAAAAGATGGGTGGGGGAGGGGGAGGATCTATAGGAAGAATTATTTCAATTCTTTGAATATCCTTCTGATAAAATTAAGTGAGTGAGTGAGTGAGTTGGGTTTAACGCTGCTTTTAACAGTATTCCAGTTATATCGCGGCCTGTCAGCTTAATGTGGGAGGAAAGCCCAAAGTGATGCAGGTCTCAGACGTTTACTACTTCGGTGAAACCCACGAGCACAGGTATGGTGCTGACAAACCTAGAAACACAATCGGGGCGAACCGGGATTCGAACTCACAATCATAGGTTTCTGGCATCCCCAAGGGACGCAACTCTGCACAGCGAATCGCGGCGCCTTAGACGACTGGGCCACCTGTGCCCCCGATAAAATTAAGCTTCAGCAAGAGGGTTTTATTCAACAGCAATGTGATTAAATCACTTCTTTTTACCCCATTTCGCGTCCATTCCCCTCTTAGTGAAGATATAAGGATACCCTCCTGCACTTTCATTTCAGCTCATCATTATTGAGGCTTCTAAATTATTGGTACGAGTAAGTAATGCATTCAGACAAGCATCCCTGAAATCTGTAACTTGAAAACATAATCGAAACCCAAAAATGGAAATAAAATGAAGAGAGGTGTTTCATACACCCTGGCATTTATGAGACATATCAGTATCAACAATCAAGCACTCTGTGATATTGAGTGAGTGAGTGAGTGAGTGAGTTGGGTTTTAACGCCGCTTTTAACAATATTCCCGTTGTATCACGGCATGTCAGCTTGTGAAAGCCGAAGTGATGCAGGCGAACCGGGATTCGAACTCACAATCATAGGTTTCTGGCGTGCCCAAGGGATGCAACTCTGCACAGCGAATCACGGCGCCTTTGACAACTTGGCCACGCGTGCCCCACTCTGTGATATTGTGACTATAGATCATATGTAATATTCTTGTAATATTGTTTGGAACATACACCAATTTTTGTTTCATATTTAACAATTATTCCAGGCGGATACTCTGGAAATCAGTGTAAACAACAATAGACGAACACCTTGATGTCAGCTACATCAGTGGGTAGACAGTCTAGTATACCAGCCTGTCGGACTTGTATAGCATCTCTTGTGGTTGCCTGGTCGAGTAATATTTTTTTAATCTGTCATCCAACAGTTGAAACAAATCCTGTGAGATCTGACCAGGTACCGACAATACGTACATGTCCTCCTCCCCCTTGTCACTGAAAGTGAAAGTGAATGACTGTAACTGATCGTAGGCCATTTATGTCCCCCATGTCAGCTTAATGTCATCTTCCCGAGGCAAGAGAGTTAACTGACTTTAAAAGTCCAGTTTCCATCCTTGCCAAACTAGGTTGGAATTACTGGACCTGATCGGAGTGCCACCAGTGGCTATTTCCAGTTTTATCCCTTTGAAAGCCTCTCCTATGGACCAATCAGATTCCACCTCTTGTACCACTTGCGTTTGCTTCACACAAAATGGTGGCGCCCGGTCAGGACGATCTGATCGATAATCAAGATATATATTGTGATAAAACGGGTCTTACATCGCGAAATGCATCAAATCACGTGAGCACCTTGATTAAAATCATGAAAAGATTTGGAAAATATCTACTGACAACAAGTTGGCAGTGCACATGCTTTGCAAATCCTGCAATCGCCCGAAATCTGCATGACAGTTAACGAACCGGGTTTCGATTTCGGTGCACGATTTTGATTGGACTATGCATAGACTCGTTAGTCCAGCCAAAATGTAACTCCATAATACCAGCCTAGTTCGGCAAGGGTGGAAACTGGACTTTTGTAGTCAGTTAACTCTCTTGCCTCGGGAAGATAGCTTAATGTGGGAGGAAAGGGATAAAGGTCTTGGCCACTATAATGAAAACCTGGAGTACAGCTATCCTTGTAATATACCAAGGCCAAGGATTATAATGAAGAGAAATCATGGCTTCGAGCCCACGATCATAGAATCCTGGATCACCAAGGGATGCAACCTCAACAATGTATTTCAGTGACTCAGCAACCCTAGTCCCAACATACCCGTGAACATGAATATAGAATACTTGGAGGTGTTTTCGGGTATTTTTGTAAATATTCTTCAAGTTCATTTCAAAACGATCCTGGCCCGTCACACATGACTAGTGTGGTTCCGAATACTGACAATCCTGTATACACAGGACTGCAAGTATACAATGTCTAAATGAAGCTGAGATTCAGAGTATAGTCCCAGACTGAAAAATCTCAAAATGGCATAAAACTTTGTGTCATAGTTTTGTGATTTGTTCATGCACTGGTTTCATCCTCCACGTGGGGGCACGGGTGGCCCAGTCGTCTAAGGCGCCGCGATTCGCTGTGCAGAGTTGCGTCCCTTGGGCACGCCAGAAACCTATGATTGTGGGTTCGAATCCCGGTTCGCCCCAATTATGTTTCTAGGTTTGTCAGCACCATACCCGTGCTCGTGGGTTTCACCGAAGTGGTAAACGTCTGAGACCTGCATCACTTCGGGCTTTCCTCCCACATTAAGCTGACACGCCGCGATATAACTGGAATATTGTTAAAAGCGGCGTTAAACCAAACTCACTCACTCACTCACTCACTCATCCTCCACGTCAATACAGAGTGTTCTGTTTGGCTAGAATATTTCTAACAATGATATAAAACCGTACTCACATTTTCATTACATTGTATTTTGGGAATAGATGAAAACTGAACACCATTGTTAATGACGAAAAGCACATTTATTACGTTTCAATGTTTCAGCCTACATTTCTAGCATTCTAGTGACATGCGATGCCTTTGTCGAGATAAATGCAAGTGAAAGCAAACCAAAAATAACATAATGACTGTGACATTTTATGGTGCTATATTTGCACAGTTTTGAGTAAAATGTCTGGAAACAAGTCCACACTTGGAAAACACATGGACCTTGGAGGTGTCAACCAGGGAGGTACAATGCATGTCTCCCATAAACTACCTGTCATTAATCCATTTATTCAAAAGTATCCAAGACATCATTAATTGTTGGTCTCCCTGTAGGATCAACTGCCAGCATTCTACCCACAATGCCTCTGACACTGTCCGACACTGTTGCTTTCACTGCAGTTTCAATCTCGTCATCACTGCACAGGGCCAGGGGTCGCTCCCCTCCTGTAGACTTGACCGCAGGACAAAGTGTTTTCTTTTCCAGTCGCATAGAAAACAATGCAAAAACCACCACACCGAGACTGAACACATCACCTGGACTTGAATACAGCCCCTCTTTGTACTCGGGAGCCCAAAATAAAGTCAGTCCACACGGTCCACTAACAAACGCATCGAGAGGCTGGTTTCCTGCGAAAGCGGTGGACAAAAGGTCCTTAGAGCAACTGCACTTGGATAAATTAAAGTCCGAGAGTTTGAACACTGGTTTGTTTCCATGTGACAGGGTTAGCAGAATATTTTGAGGTTTGACATTTCCGTGCACGACGTTGTGTTTGTGCAGATGCTGAAGGCCATGAGCGACGTCCTTCATTGCTCGTGTAATTGCAACGTCGTCCATTTTCTCGCTAACTGCAAAGTCATTCAGATTCCCAGGCTCACAAAAGTCAAGAACGACATATATGTTGTCGTTTTCGGTGAAGTGGTCAATAAATGTCACCAGATGCTCATGGCGCGGGAGATTTTCGTGAGCTTCTAATTCAGTGTCCACAGCTGAAGTGTCAGTAGACTTTTGAATTTGTATTTCTTTCAAAGCAAAAGGATCCCTAAAGTTTGTCACTTTGTGAGTTTTACCAAAAGCTCCATTACCAAGGGTTTCGAATATTCGATATTTCCCACCTATCTTCATTTTGAAGAAAACGTTTCTGCCAAGAACCCGGAAATAAAGTCTTAGCAGCTAGTTATGGGTTACCTCCCTTCATAGTCACTCGTACAGAATATTGAATCTGGATAATCGAAAATTTGAGATGGGGCACGTTTTGGGTTCGAATATTTTTGGGGATATTCAGGAAAATTATTTATTGCAAACACGTTTATAGTAACAACTTGAACTAATTATCAAAGTATAGGGAGGAGGAGACATATAGGTTTTTTATGAGTAAAAACACATTTTTATATGTGATAGTTCTATATCTCCAGAAAACAGTGAATATGGATGCATTGTTGCACACCTCGAGACCCGTGAAGATCCAGGTAAGAATAAGTCTTCAGTAACCCATGCTTGCGGTTAAAGGCGTCCATGCTTGTCGTAAGAGGCGACTGGTCGATAATGTCAGCGTATACCCAATTGTGTGGATCGATGATTACGATGTCAATCACAGGATTGTCTGGTCCAGACTCGGTTATTTACAGGCCGCCGTCATATAGCTGGAATATTGCTGAGTGCGGCGTAAAACAACAAACAAACAAACCAATCCTTCCTGTATATATACTCGTCAACCATACTCTGTAGATCACTTGCTTGATAACGGTGTTAGAACCTACACCGAAACGTCGCTCCTAATTGTAATAAAGAAGTTGTTCATCCCTATATCTTATCCTTACTTTCTGTATAAATAGGAAAAACAAACACTATTTTACATTTTACAAACTTTAACAACATTCACACGATATCCTACTATCAAACATAGATTCTAACATAATGTGAACAACGTTCAACTCACATCATACGGTACATGTAGATGGACTGCTGAGTACATTTACTGGTTTCTCTGTGGAAAGTGTGATTATTACAAGTTTGAAATGAATCTCCTTGTAGAGCGAATCAGTTATAGATGTCAGTCTTCATTATCCTGTTTAATGAAAAATACTCTTGTGAGAGAGTTTGGTTTTACGCCGCTTTTAGCAATATTCTAGCAATATCACGACGGGGGACACCAGAAATGGGCTTCACACATTGTACCCATGTGGGGAATCGAACCCGGGCCTTCGGCGTGACGAGCGAACGCTTTAACCACTAGGCTACCCCTGCACAGAACACCTATCAATGTAATCACCTTATTTCACAGGACATGCAAAGCACAACAATCAATGCATGGATACTTACCCGACAATAGAACAATCACTGACCCGTCTCCGCCCTTTGTCTAGATTATATAATGTGTTACACAGTCTAAACTCGGTGGCGGACGTGAAACCACAGTCGCTCTCAAGCAGTCAAAATGTCAAGTAGTTTTACTCAGCAATTCGAGGAAAAGAGGCAGTTCGAATTTTTGGAGATTGGCGTACTACTGCATATTCAGAAAACCAGAAACGTGCTTTTGAGGACCAAGATAAAAAGGTCCGTTATTGAAAATGAAGAGCTGTTTAACGTATGTAAGGGACAATAGAGGTAATTAATTACAACTGAAACAAATTCAATCATTGAAAATGGTCATGAATTGGATGCTTGTCATAAATGCCAGATCATACACAAGAAAACTGTGAATTCAATTTGTGAAAGGACTTATTCCAGAACTACACCCTGTCTGGTCTAAAATTGGAATTGATCTTATCGGCATTAAAGAAATAAGTCGTTCGTTATATTGCACAAATCTGTTAGAAGGATAAGATATCACAGTGAAATTTGTCCGAACAATATTTCAATATGCAATCATGACGTGATCTTGAAACAATTTTGTGGGATGAGATTTGAGACGAATAAAATATCCAGGTGAAAAGAAAACTGTCCTGAGGATACAGTATCCCTGGATAATTACAGATAGGGACACCATGTGACATATTGTGGTTACAGTTGGTAAATGAATGAATCACTGTGATGAATATAGATGTTTATATCTTTCATTTGGAGATAAATAGTAATGTTGGGTCTACTCAATGAGCATATATGTATCTAATGTAAAGACATAACTATTGTAATAGCGTAAATCTTGGCAGGTTGTAATATGTTGTGTGTGTCGCCGGATTTATTAGTTGCCAAGAGTTATCTCATAACGTGTGCCGCCGAAATCATTTATTGCTGCATTTATAGTATATAAAGTAACAGCGTTTGAATATTATATTGTGCCATGCTATGCAACGTAATGAAATGCGACTTCATGTCACGCCATTGTCGAGGGAAGACATTCTTTCTTCCTCGACACATCAATTCATGTTGATGTAATTTATATATTTTTACAGGTAATAAATCCTTTTATACCTCATCCGCACCGCCTCAGTTCCCTCGATTACATCGTTGGCAGAACCCGCGACATGTGGGTGGAAATCCACGCAAATATAACATTGTTACGTGCGAATGGGATGTGTATGTTGGTTGGATGGCTTGTTGTTTAACGCCGCACTCAACAATATTCCAGCTATATGACGGCGGTCTGTAAATAATCGAGTCTGGACCAGACAATCCAGTGATTGATATCATGAGCATCGATCCACGCAATTGGGATCGTGGACATCCATCAACCAAGTCAGCGAGCCTGACCACCCGATCCCCTTAGTCGCCTTTTACGACAAGCATTAGTCACCTTTTACGGCAAGCATGGGTTGCTGAAGACCTATTCTACCCCGGATGTATGGGATATGTAAGTGCTTGCAGTGACGTATGATCATGTGATAACATGTATGTGTATTTACTGAACAGATCCTTGCAGAACTGCATAAGTGACTGTTGTAAACCAAGGTCTACACATCTGGTAGGCGTTTCATATTACATGTAGACATGTTTGTGTTTTAATGTGCATATATTGACCAGTGATCCCATGGAGGTCATGATAGAAGTTGTACATCCATTCTATATATAGAATTAAATGTGCAGAATTGCGTCACTTGGGCACGCCAGAAACCCGTGATCATGATCTCGTTCTTTGACGATTCGGGGGAAAGACTTCCGCCCGTATCCCCCTCAAAATATGTATAATCATAAAAGGATTTAGCGGCAATACATTCATATATAACTTTGGAAGGGGATACGGGCGGAAGTCTTTCCCCCCCCCCCACCCCCCCACCCCCCCCCCCCACCCCCCCCCCCCACCCCCCCCCCCCCCCCCCCCCCCCCACCCCCCCCGACTCATCAAAGAACGAGATGCACGGACCAAAGGCCAGGGAAGGGAGTGCGAGTCACGCAGTGCTTTCACAGGAACATGGAGTTAATTCTTGCTTATCTTTTTAAATACGGTTGTCAAGACAATATTGTTTAAATACCTTAAGTGCTAAGATTCTTTGAATGTTATACATGGTTTAAATCGGTTAGACCACTCGAGTTCCGATGTTCAATGTTTAAAATGGTCAGTTAAACACCGCGAGGGCACATTAGCCAAACAAAGTATTTGTACGCCTGTGCAAGTTATTAGATTCGTGCCTTATTCGTTCTCGTATTGATTATCTGCGGAGCGGTACTATTTATTAGGTAACTTCGATGTGAAAACTTTATATGATCTTCATCGTTTCCCTATTCATATTCTTAATGTGAATGCCCAGCAAAACAACCCTAAACGAACCTCTATATCACATCAAGGGACGTCACTCTATCCAGGGGAAGCAACTCTACGCATTCCGAACCGCATTTCCATGTGACTTTCATCAGATCTGTCAAGTGTCCTCACGCAATGGAAATGTTAGCCTCGCGAGTCTTGTGCGGAAGATGCTTCCAGCCATTGTCCAAGAGCTGCTCATTTTTCAAGTCTATGACAAATTCTTGTCCGACATGCCCACCCATGAGAACGGGTCTTGTGTCGGTAAGGCGACCAATGTTGAAGTTCCGTACAAACTCACTCGAGCACCTATTTTCGTCCTTGAGGAAGGATGGTTTTTGGTTGTTGCATAATCCTAACAACTGCTTCTTTGGTTGGCATATATTTACATGTTCTCTCATTGGTAGCAATATTCGAATGCCTTATTCGTTGCGTCAAAAGCCTTGCGTCCTGTCGGGTTTTGCGTGACATTTCTGAAGTTGTTGTAGCGCATGTAAAATATAACCTAGGCTGTCTGTGAACTCTTCACGAAAATAATTGGTGGCCATGAAGCAAGTCATAGGTCCATGTAGACGAACGCAGACGAGTTGAGAATATTCCGTTCATTCCTCCTCGGCCTTTGGCCTCTTCTGCGAATTTATTATAGTTCCATGGTCCTGTGAGCAAATGTATTTCAAGTTATGACCTGCTGGGATGACACTTCAGTGTTGCACCGGTGCTGGCACTGATCACAACATAGAAGTCATGTTTTCTCTTTCTTACTTCTTTCCTGCATATATAATCGTAGGATATGCCAGTTCTGACAGATATCTCTTACTGAGATAGATTTGGAAGCTCGAACAATAGGACAGTAATCAAAATAAGCGCTTGCTCATAGGCCTGTGGCAGGGAAATATAGTGTCAGGCCGGTAGTTTTAAATTTGTATGGGTCATTAAGCCTGTAGTAAAGTAACATGTCCATTTATGTGTCACATAAGCTGCAGGGTATTTTTAAACAAGGGCCTGAAGAGCTTGTCAGGGCCCGCAGCTTCTAAAGTACGTGGGTCCTGACCGCAGCCAGATGATGTTTTAAAACAACCAATAATCCCCTCCACTCATCATCACTTCTGAATGATCCTGTTGTCCAGCTAAACTACTCATTAAACTGAAATACACAGACAAATCAAATCCTGGAGTATCAAATACGCAACAAAAACTATAAACACGCAATTAGATAAAATCATTGCGTATGTTACAACTGTTAGATAAACTGATTGCATATCAGCCGATTGCGAAATTCACTTTCCAACAGCAACATTTGGGAAAAGATTGCGCGACAAACAATTTGATAGATGCTAATTGAAAAGCACATAGTGCCTCAACATGTACATGTTGTATGATACAACTTGTATCTAAACCGATTGAACAGTCGCTGATTGGTGATTAAAAAACATAGCTCTTTTCTTACAATGCTAGTTTTTACAAACAAAAATGGCTTCCCGGAGTGGGAGCCTCAAGCAGACTGGGATGGGTATACTTCTTTTCAGATATTTTTAATTTTACAAGGATTGTTACCAAAAGGGTTTTAAGTTAAAATACCCAATCTTAAGGTCGGTAAAAAAAATGTGAATACCCCTGGGTGATATACCCAAATAACTAGAGCTCTAAATGATGCTACACTGAAATAACTTAGAAAATTCCTGTTGAGATGGTTCATTTTTTAAATGGGGGCTCAAGTGTCCCAAGACACTGTAATTTGATGTGTAGAGTTGCATCCCTTAGCCATTCCAGATTCTGCTGACCCAATGAGTAAGACATCATGTCTGTTACCATGGTTACAGAACATTACAGGCAAAACAATGTCTGGCAGTAATGTATTTCACAAAACAGACTGTCAAATTCTGAACAGTGAACAGTTTTATTCATTTTGGCTTCAGTATGGACTTGTTAAAACTATAACTAGCATTCTATAGAAACATGCAATGTATCTACAAATGGTGTTGTTTTTTTTAAATATTTTGATATGCCAGATGGCAACAAATTGTCAGATATGTTGCAAATATGTCAACTTGAAAATCTGAAACTGCCTCAAGGCACTAGTCCTATAGTCCTTGCCAAACTACCCAATGGTAAAGATATCATAAGGACTAGTAGCAAATTGCCATTTGTAAGGGTTTTGCTATATGTTATCATTATAAGGACTAGTGGACGAAAACTGTTAGTTTCTAACGCTGCTGCCTGTCACATTGTGAGGTATTGACTTGCATCCTTTTTTTACAGGGACACAGACTGATCAGATTCATTTAATTTTGGTCCTTTTGAGGGCCATACTGCAAACAAGTTTCTCCAAAGTTCTCAGCATCAATGGATTTTTAGTTTTCTCCCTACAAGTTGATACACCTTGACAGAACAGCAATATTGTTCAAATTGTTTTGAATACAGTAAAATATGGTTACAACAAGCACTGATATGATGTACTTATAGCTATAAATGTTTTCATTCATGCTACATATCTAAACACCGTTCCTTGTACATTGTTTTCAGTTTCGACCAAGATTTTCCGCCATGTCCACATTGAGCATCCCCAGTCGCCAAATGTCCGTCCTCATTCCACAAACAACACATCTCACCAGAAGCTCATCACAAGCTGCCTGGCACCGGCTAATGTCTTCAGGAACACCGAAAGCTGCCCCTAAGAAAAAGCAGGGGGTCAGTATCAGGTTAAACCAAATGAATCACATGCATCCTTGATCAACCAGTGCTCCTCTGTACTGTTATTATAAAAACACTTGACCCATTTGCCACCATAGCTTCGTTTCTGAAGGGGTGGTCGGGTAGCCTAGTGGTTAAAGCGTTCACTTGTCACACCGAAGACCTGGGTTCGATTCCTGACACTTACCACAGTTTCTCACCCATATGAACTGTAAATCAATGACCAATCAAATTGAATCATCTGAACACGATTTCGATATTGATCAACATTCAAAATCCGGTCTCATATGTGCAAGCCCATATGTGTAATCAAATATAAAAACTGCATAGAGCTAGTGAGACGGAGTGAGTGAGTGAGTGAGTGAGTGAGTATGGTTTTACGCCGCTTTTAGCAATATTCCAGCAATATCACAGCGGGGGGGCACCAGAAATGGGCTTCACACATTGTACCCGGGTCTTCGGCATGACGAGGGAACGCTTAAACCACTAGGCTACCCGACCGCCCCTAGTGAGACGGAACTCATGCTATGAGTCATTCCCAGTTTATTTGATCACCACTTGCTTGATTTATGGAAGAAGAGAGTAATTTGATTGGAGGCTATTTTTAGTGTTTCTTTGAAACGGGGCATCAGTGGCGAAGGGGTCTGGGACATTTATCAGAATGGATCTGGTTGGTTGGTTTGTTGTTTTACGCCACACTCAGCAATATTCCAATTATATGACAGTGGTCTGTAAATAATCGAGTCTGGACCAGACATTCCAGTGATTGACATCATGAACATCGATCCGTGCAATAAGGATCGATGACATGCATCAACCAAGTCAGCGAGGCTGACCACCCGATCCCGTTAGTCGCCTCTGACAACAAGCATAGTCACCTTTCATGGCAAGCATGGGTTGCTGAAGACCTATTCTAACCCGGATCTTCACAGGTCTTATCATAATGGAATGGAGATACACTGTATAATCAAAGATGTTTTACAAGTTGATGCATGATGATTTGCACCTCAGCAGAAACACTTGTGGGCAGATAAGCTTATAACATCTTGAACTGCACAGTATTGCTGGTGTACAAGGCCAAACCTTCTGGCCAGTTCTTCCAATGTATTGCAAATGTTGAGTGTGTCCAGGTGTATTGGGTAAACAAAATATAACAAGATTTGTTATTATTTGTATCATTTAACCTAAACTCTACACAGAAATTTATTCGCAAGTGGTTTCCCTTCAAAATTTATTTACAAAATGGCAGAAACGCAGAAGTGATTTGTTTTCTCGCATTATCTCCCCTGTATCCAAGACAACAAAATGGTGGCACCTGACCATGCTGAGTAATATTTACTTGTCTTCAGTGTGTAGAAAATATGCATGTTAATCACTTCAGCTCCCAATATACCGCATTATGTATTGCAATACGGATACCTGTATCTCAATATATTGCAATACAGTCTTTTGGCAATACCTAGCCCGTATATCTTCGCACTATGGCTTCCAAATTGTACTCTGGAATGGCGTCAAGCTGGCCATTGTGATGTTCCTCCAGATGAGACAATCCTGTGGGAATTCCTGGTCAGAATAGGTCCCAGAAACCTATGCTGGTGGTGAGGAGTGTCCAAATGTATCAGGTGTTCAGGGTTGGGGACTTTATTGATTGCGTGTCATCGTCCCCCGATGGCGTGGATTGTTGTCACAATATCGATCACTGGATTGTCAGACTCAATTAATTACAGGACACCATCATATAGCTGGAATATGTCAGCGGTGTTAAACAACAAACTGGTAAACAAATAATATCAGACAAATTATCAACCTCACCTACCTTCACAATCTTTAATGGACCGCTCCACTACAGTAATGTATGCATAACTGTATGATATGTCCTGTTCCAGCCTGTGTCATGGAAGGGTCTACTGATAGCTGCAGGGTTGGGAGGTGTCATGTTGCTGGGAGTACAGTATGTGAAGAGAGAGAAGGAACTGGGTAGGTTGACCAAGAACTTTCCATTCCCCATTGTTAAAATGACCAAAGTGCAGTCGGGTAGTTTTGTGGTTAAAGCGTTCGCTCATCACACCGAAGGCCTGGGTTCAATCCCATACGTGGGGGTACTTGGTCGGCTTGGAGTCTGTGTCTGTGTTAACACTATGAAACTGGTACAAGTCTTGGCAAGTACAAGCATACACACACACAAGCATACACGCACACAAGCATACACGCACACAAGCATACACGCACACACGCTCACAAGCATACACGCTCACAAGCATACACGCACACAAGCATACATGTTCACAAGCATACACACACACAAGCACACAAGCATACACGCACACAAGCATACACGCACACAAGCATACACGCTCACAAGCATACACGCTCACAAGCATACACACGCACAAGCATACACACGCGCATACACTCACACACACACACATCACTATGTGAGTTAAATATTCTTATACACAATGTTAATTTTCATTTCTTTACATTTTGCCTCACCTGTGTGAGCTGGCTGAGTGTGCAACATTTCTGCCCCTTTGGTGTGGAATGAATTGTGCACATTCACCACTGGTCAGAAAAAATGCCAAAAGCAACTGCAACTGCAACTGCAATATTCCAGCAACATCACTGCTGGGGACCAGAAATGGGCTTCACACATTGTACCCGTGCAGGGAATTGTACCCAGGCCTTCGGTGTGACGAGCGAAGGCTTATTCACTAGGTTACCCCACTGTGGGGAATCAAACCCCGGTATTTGGTATGATGAGTGAACGCTTTAACCACTAGATAACCCCACCGCCCCTGATCCAGAATACAAACATGAGAGCTTGAAAACTCTTGACTGAGGAGCAAAACAACATTCATTCACTTCTGTTGTTTTCTTAGCATTTAATATCTGCTGATCAATTAACATGATTAATGGGTTTGAAATCCAAGATTTGTATCTGCTGTGCAGAGTTGACTCCCTTATCCATGCCAGGATCTGCTGCTCACTGATCGAAATTCTAGATTTGTCTTATTATGGTCCTCAGTAGAATTGTATGGCTAGGGCAAAACACAAAGCCAAGATCCAATGCGTAAATATCATGATACAGAAAGAATGACACAAGCTGATCACAGAAGTTTATTGAAACACATTTTTTGGTGATAAAGACAGAAATATTATGCTTACATTGAAATCTCCTGTGTACAGCCGTAATCATGGTAATGTATGTAACATTCTGATGACCGTCTAACATATTGTTATGTACCGTATTCGATGTAATAAGCGTCCTGGGCGCTCTCAAAATTAGAAACAGGGGGCTCTTCTTAGAATATTATTTTGGTGAAAAAAACAGAGTTGGAAGATAAATTTCGTGGTTTATGCTGACAGCCTGAAATGTTTATGTACGACAGATATATTTTTCCAGAATTTAATTCCCCATAATTAACGGTGCATATAACACGCGGGTGCGTATTATACGCGAATAAATAAGTCTTGTGTACATTGATCAATTGGAAGGGGTGCTAATTGGGATTGTTCACTCGCCAATATATTAGCAAATATCGCAGTGGGCGCTTATTAGAGCGGGGGTTATTACGTCGAATACGGTATTATGTCTCATCAATGTACCAGTGAATCATCCCACCTACAGTATAAGTCCAAGTAACCCATTTGTAGTGGTCCCGATGAAAACATCGTATGTTTTCATGCGATGATACGATACAGGAGAACATTTTTCCTGTATCCATAACAAACGCTATACTTGCTATTTTAAAAAAAGCCACTACAAACATGTGTCAACAGCTTGCCTTTCCCTTTGGACCTGCTCTGAACTTTTTATAGTCAAGGAGTTTCCATTAGATTTGTCGAAAATATGCATATCGTGATACAGATCGTATCATGACCTTTGTATCGTGATACTATTGTTTCATGACCTTCCTTTATCGTTTCACGCCTTGTGGTCATATGCACAGGTCACGAATCAGGTGAAGATTGGTGACCACATTCAGTCCTGCCCCACACAGAATCACATGTCAGGGCACGGTTGGACCAGTCATCTAAGGCGCCGCAATTCACTGTGCAGAGTTGCATCCCTTGGGCACGCCAGAAACCTATGATAGTGGGGTCGAATCCCGGTTCGCCCCGATTATGTTTCTAGGTTTGTCAGCACCATACCCGTGCTCGCGGGTTTCACCGAAGTGGTAAACGTCTGAGACCTGCATCACTTCGGGCTTTCCTCCCACATTAAGCTGACACGCCGCGATATGACTGGAATACTGTTTAAAGTGGCGTTAAACCAAACTCACTCACTCAGAATCACATGTGGTATCTTCAGGAAAATGACCTTGTTCAAAATGGGCCTGACCTGTCCAGGCGGATGAGATGGTGGTGTGAATGCAAAATTGCTAATACCGCAATTGATGTAATAAGCACCCAGGGCGTTCTCTAAATTAGAAATAGGGGGGGCTCTTATTAGAAAAATATTTTGGTGGAAAAAGCTGTGCGTATTATACGTGAATAAATAAGTCTTGTTTACATTGATCAATCGGAAGGGGATTGGATTGTTCTCAAGCCAATATATTAGCATATATCGCCATGGGTATTTATTACGTCAAATACGGTATGCATTTTACTTGATAGCAATTTTGACAATACCAGATGGCTTGGATCGCTGCTCATCCTATCGACCACTGGTTTGCTTGGCTTGGACAGGCTTCTGTTATGAAAATATATTGCAAGTGATTTCGTGGCATTAACCAGAATGTTTTTCAGCTTCGGGCCACGCCTACTGACATATGACTGATACTGTGTAATAATAGAAGGGTCTGGGCTCGTGTTATTGTGCTGAATAATGTCACCAATTTCATACTGTGACAGTCGCTATATGGCTGAAATAATGCCGATGTAACATTCAATTTTAACTCACTCACTCATACTGTATTTATACTGTATATATATTTATTAATATTTATTAATAGGAAATGATTTCGATATGTTTTTGCTTTCATGTAGTTATCCCCAGGTTTTTACGTTTATATGTTCATGAACACCAATATTAAAGTTTTTAAACAGCCTGAAAGTTACAGATTACATGGTAAATTGAAACTCACTGTTCCAGAAATCGCAAAGGAGCGCAGCAGGTCCCTGGGTAAAGCTTCTCTGGGTGGGCCATGGCAACTGGTAGACCACAATGGTCAAGTCAAGTCCAGCAAGGACTTTCACGGTCAGTGGGTGCTGCTGTACTTCGGTTTCACCCACTGCCCAGACATCTGCCCTGACGAGATCGAGAAGATGATCAAAGTCGTGGACTTGATAGGTGAGAGAAACTGTTGACTATTTTTTTTTTTTTTTTTTTTTTTCTTTAACTATTTTTATTTCATTTTTCTGATTGTGGCTTTAAGCACAAATTGATTGATCTGTACAGCGAAATGTGAAATTTCTTTGGGTACGCATCATTCACTCAATGAGTTGTAGCTTTGCTCTATCAGTAAGTAAAATGTGTTTGTCATAATTTGGGAACAGTGTGATTACTTTGTAACTTTCATTGCCATTGTAGATGCAACACCTTCCAAGCCGAACCTTCAACCCCTCTTCATCACAGTTGACCCCGAGCGTGACACAGTGAAGGCAATCCGGGAATACTGCCTAGGTGGGTAATAACATTCTGTAAGTAGTAGGCCGCCTCCGTGGCCTAGAGGTAGAGCATCCGCCCGGAGAGCGGAAGGTCCGGGCTTCGATCCCCGGCAGCGCCATACCAAAAGACGTTAAAAGATGGTACTTGTTGTTACCCTGTCTGGCGCTCAGCATTAAGGGCCTTAAACAAGGACAGGTCGGCTCGGAGTCAGTATACTGTGTCTGAGTGGGGTATTCATGTTAATCTGCGGCATGGTATCTCAGTGAGCTAGCACTATAAATCGGCATCAGTTCGGACTAGTACAAGCAGCCGCACAAACACACACACACACGTACATGCACGTCCTATATAAGTGCAATAATCTTGGACGCGACGTTAAACCCCATTTCACCTCACCTGTAAGTAGTAGATGGGGATTCCTGGTTAGAATAGGCCCCCATCAACCTTGGCTGGTCACAAGAAGCGACTCAAATGATGATTTCAACAAAGTGCTATAATCATGATTTGTCCAGAATCATCATTATCAAACTCTTATTTTCTGTAAAATATGCCCATGTCAAAACATTTCTCCAATGAAGATTGTCCATTAGAGAGAAACAATCAGCAATATTTGAACCAAGTGAAAACCAGTATTTTATCATCTTCCTGAGGCAAGGGAGTTAACTGGGCTGGAATTCCTGGGCTCAATTGTAGTGCCACCATTGGTTATTACGAGTTGTGTCCCTTCTAAGCCTCTCCCATGGACCAATCAGATTCGACCTCTCGTATCACTTGCATTTGTTTCAAACAAAATGGCGGCGCCCAGTCAAAACGATCTGATCGATAATCAAGATATAAATTGTGATAAAACGGGTCTTACATCTCGAAGTGCATCAAATCACGTGAGCACCTTGATTAAAAACATGAAAAGACTTGGAAAATATCTGTTGACAACGAGTTGTCGGTACACATGCTTTGCAAATCCTGTAATCGACCTAAATCTGCACAACAGTTTACTGACCAGATTTCGATTTTGTTGCGCGATTTTTATTGGACTATGCATAGACTCGTTAGTCTAGCCTAAACATACCTCCATAATACCAGCCTAGTTCGGCAAGGGTGGAAAGTGGACTTTTATAGTCAGTTAACTCCCTTGCCTCGGGAAGATGTCGTTATTGCTACTTCTATTCTTTTTAAACCCCCAGCTTATGATGTGGGGGGAATATAGTCAACACTTCATCTGTCTGTCCCTCTGTCAGTCATCATTTTGTTTCCGGAGCACAACTCGAAAAATGTTCCATATTTGTTAACAAAAATTGGAAGATATATCAAACATATCCTGAAGTGGTGCCCTTTGCTATTTACAGACTTTTGGCAATTTTATTGTTTTCGATTTCCATGCAAACAATATTCTATATCTTTGATACTAGAAGATTTAACAAACCAGGCATGCCTTTATGAAATGATTTTGTCTCAAAACAATCTATTGAACAAGTATTAGAAAAAATTTGATTTGAACCAAATATTCAATGAATAAAGATTTTAACTGCGAATACATCAGCATCTGTTTACTATACAAATGGAGCATTTTTTTTATTTTTTATGTTAGAAGGGGATGTAGATGGGGGATCCAGTATCTCCCTACATCTACCTATTTGTAGTCGAGCAGGGCAATTTATACTTCGAATACGGTACTTGATGACATACGTATTGTTTCACTTCAGAATTTTCCCCAAAACTGCTTGGGCTGACTGGAAGTAGAGAGCAGGTGGACCAGGCGACGCGGGCATATCGGGTGTACTACAGTTCCGGGCCTCGTGATGAGGACAATGATTATATCGTAAGTTACTGGGTGGAGGTCTCATCTCAAGACCACAAAATGCATATCGAGGTGCTTTTCAAAACATTTCCTTAATAAAGGTAAATAAGGTTTTAACAAGGAAACGACAAAATTCGTACAAATGGAATTACTCCCATAAAGTTGCTTTGATCTGTAAAAAAAATCTTTATAAGTAAACAGTGCACTTTTTTACTGTAGGATTTTGTTGTATAAGCGACTGGTTTTTTTTGCGTCCCCTGCACAACTGATAAACTGGCTGCAATACATACTCAAGTGGGGGCGGTCGGGTAACCTAGTGGTTTAAGCGTTCGCTCATCACGCTAAAGACCCGGGTTCAATTCCCGACATGGGTACAATGTGTGAAGCCCATTTCTGGTGTCCCCCACTGTGATATTGCTGGAATATTGCTAAAAGTTGCGTAACACTCACTCACTCACATACTTAAGTGGAAAAGTAGAACAAACTGACATTAAATTGTGACTGTCCTGGGCAAAGTACATTTACACTTCAATATTGCCGTAATAATCATCTCATAATGATTACCATGTTAAAGTAATCTTGATCATTTTCCAAACTAACTGATTTTGTACCCGGCCAAAACATATTCATCTTCCCACTTTTGTCCTATTTTGGCATAATTACAAAACATCAACACATTTTCTACATTCTAAGTTGGCCAATCAAATCCCTCACTCCATGCAGATTGAAAATTAAAAATTTTTCTTGGTATGCTTAAAATTCTAGTGCAATTTGTGCTGGATGTTTCAGGTTGACCACACCATCATCATGTACCTGGTTAACCCTGACGGAGACTTCGTCGACTACTACGGCCAGAACAAGAAGTTTGACGAGATTTCAACTAGTATCAAATTGCATATGGAGAAATTTTCTTATCTGAAAAATTAGACCATACACTGAAATATTTGAAATACTGTAGCTGCTTTCCATATCTGATATACTTCGAAGCATTTTATCTCAATTGTCTTTTTCTCAATTTTTGTGACCATGGAGCAGTTTTGACTTAACGTATTTGACGTAATAAGCGCCTAGGACGCTCTCAAATTTAGAAATAGGGGGCTCTTATTAGAATATAATTTTGGTGAGAAAAAAAAGTTGAAAGATTGTAAATTTCGTAGTTTATGCTGACAGCCTGAAATGATACAAAAGAAAAGTATGTGCGTATCATACACGACAGATATATTTTCCAGAATTTAATTGCCCATAATTAAGGGTGCATATAACACACGAGTGCGTATTATACATGAATGAATAAGTCTTGTGTACATTGATCAATTGGAAGGGGTGCTAATTGGGATTGTTCACTTGCTGATATGTTAACAAATATCGCCGTGGGCACTTATTTGAGCGGGGCGCTTATATATTTGATAGCAAAGACACTTGGGTGAATATTGCCGTGGGCGCTTATTACGTCAAATACGGTAATACACCTTCACCTTTGCTGATATGATTCTCAATGTCACTACACTGGGGCGATGTTGTAGCTCTGTGGTTAAAGCATTAGCTCATCCAGGGTACCATGAGGCTGGCCCATTCATGGTATTCAAAAGTAGCTGAAATATTGCTAAAAGTATCATAAAACACAATTCACTCACAAGCTGATGGAGGTTTTGATCTTGTTTAGGTACGGAAGCTGTATGACTGTTGTTTTGTTGCATAGGAATCTTTGGCCTCCCCAATAGAGTGTGGCTGTTTTAACATTGCGGGAGACCCACACCATGCGTCACTCTTTCCAGATTCGGGATAGAGTAGGATTATTTGGTACAGACCGCTGTGGCGTTAAACATACTTTCTAAGTTATCTAGACAAGACAATTATGGTTCACAAGTTTTCCATCAATACTGGCAAGATAAATTCATTGTAGATGTATCACGATGGGTACATGCATCTGTATTCAATAAATTGTGTGTGTAATTGTTGCTGTGTTGTTCTGTTTCTGGAGTCCGGAAGGAGGAAGAAAACCTGTTGACGATCCAGTTGTACAATCAGGCAAACAGAACACGAGTATAAATAATTTGAATATTTTAATATCACATAATATCACATCATTTGTTTTTGCTAGCTTTTGCGGGTCTTTCATGATCTTATGGCATTATCAGATCCACCACTCACTCGGGTTTTTAGTTTTCTCAACCAAGTCATGTATATGGGCAACATCCAAACACATTTGGTTTTTTTGCTAGCTGTTAATTGCTTTTGCGGGTCTTTCATGATCATGATGATCTTGTGGCATTATCGGATCCACCACTCACTCGTGTTTTTAGTTTTCTCAACCAAGTCATGTATATTGGCAACATCCAAACTCATCACTGGTTTAGAAAAACTATGTTGCCAGTTTTTCCATGGACCATCCACCAAAATATAACTTCATGATACATTTACACATCTCAATTTAAAGAAACTTATCAGTCAAAACCAGTTTCTAATATACATGATCTGTCTGTCTACTTACTTGCACAGTTCTTCTGATGAATTAATAATCATTTCATTTTTCTCTTGGATGAATTACTAAAGAGACAAGTGTCTGTAGTCATTAAAATGAAGTATTCGGAGAAAGTTATCGATGAAGGGAAATTTACTGATTCAGGTTCTGTGAATGTAAAGATTTCATAGTCACTCTACAATACAGAACCAATCTCTTCCAAATGAGTGAGTGAGTTGGGTTTAACGCTGCTTTTAACAGTATTCCAGTTATATCGCGGCATGTCAACTTAATGTGGGAGGAAAGCCAGAAGTGATGCAGGTATTAGACGTTTACCACTTCGGTGAAACCCACGAGCACGGGTATGGTGCTGACAAACCTAGAAACATCATCAGGGCGATCCGGGATTTGAACCCACAATCATAGGTTTCTGGCGTGCCCAAGGGACGCAACTCTGCACAGCGAATGGCGACGACTGGCCACCCGTGGCCCCCTCTCACAAATGAAAGAGGGAGATCAGATTCATTCCATGTTATGTCCTTATGCTGTTGGAATATCTCTCTACATGTTTGTTGTTTAACGCAGCACGCAGCAATATTCCAGCGGTCTGTAACTAATCGAGTCTGGACATCATGAGCATCGATCCACACAATTGTGATACAAAACTTTCTGAAGTCTGTAAACTGCAACATAGCTTCAAAGTCTGTTTGTTGAGGGTTGTTGGTTGGTTGGTTTGTTGTTTTACGCTGCACTCAGCAATTTTCCTGCTATATGACGGCGGTCTGTAAATCCAGACAATCCAGTGATTGATATCATGAGCAGTCACTTTGGCAAAACCCATGAGCACAGGGATGGTGCTGATAAAACTAGAAACATAATTGGGGCAAACTGGGATTCAAACCCACAATCATGTGGTTCTGGTAAACCCAAGGGATGCCACTCCACACTGGGCCACCAATTCCCCCCTGTCGAGAAAACTAACACCCTATTGTTCATGGTGATACAAATGTTTCTCAACAGCCATTGTGATCTATCTTACTCAAGAAATCCTCCTTTCATAATATTACCTCTTCACGAGGCAAGGGAGTAAACTAATTATGAAAGTCCAGTTTCCACCCTTAGGCTGGAATTTCAGAGTTATACTTTGGCTGTACTAACTAGTCCATGCATTGTCCAATCAAATTTGCGTTTCAAATCGACATCTGGTTTGTAAAGAACACAGCAACTGCCATGCTGATTTCAGTCAGATGCAGGTTTTGCAAAGCATGTGTACCATCAACTGGGTGTCGATATATATTTTTCTAATCTTTTCACGTCAACAAAATTCCATCCAAGTTTGGCAAAGGTGGAAACTTTTGTAGTCAGTAAACTCCTTTGCCTTGGTAAGATGTAATATCCTGTTTCTATTCTATTCTAATTCTGGTTATGCATCAAATCTGAAGTCACTATGAAGTGCATCCTTCAAATCAGAGCTTAGCTTTGGCCGTTTCTGGGAGAGGTCCTTTCCATTCTTCACCTAAAATGCAGACAAAGAAAACAATAGATTAGCAAATTCATGGAAAACCACCATTACACCACTGTCAATTGTATTCCAGCTCATTAAGATTACACCACAAGGTGTTATCTTGACGTTCTCAGAGGCTGAAATTCCCGATCCATAAATATAACTAATTTTATGAGTGAGTTCAGGTCACATCGGCAATATTTCATCCATATCTTGAACTAATTTTATGGCTTTACAGAAGAAACATGTATTCACTTAATACAAGACCAATAAAAAGAAAGAACAGGTTTTAATGCCTCGTTTTATATTATTGCATTAAATGCAATCTCAAAAGATCTTGGAACAACTAAACGATTTTTCCCAATTTGCCTGCCAGGGGCACTTGATTGATCCCTGCACTACCTTTATTGCACCAAAACGACAACAGTTTTCCAGGCTATCAAGATTGGACCACGCCTATATTACACCACCCATACTACCGCCTGAGTGAGTGAGTGAGTATGTTTTTACGCCGATTTTAGCAATATTCCAGCAATATTACGGCAAGGGACACCAGAAATGGGCTTCACACATTGAACCCATGTCGGGAATCGAACCCGGGTCTTCGGCGTGACGAGCGAACTCTTTAACCACTAGGCTACCCGACCGCCCCCTCTACCGCCTGTGAAGATCAGAGTTAGAATTGGTCTTCAGCAACCCATGCTTGTCTTAAGAGGCGCCAAGCAGGAACTTGTGTTCAGGCTCGCTGACTTGGTTGATACATGTCATCATATCCTAATTGTGAAGATTGATGCTCATGATGCCAATCACTGGATTGTCTGGTCCAGACTCAATTATTTAGTCTGACATCATATAGCTGGAATATTGCTGAGTGCGGTGTTAAACAACAAACGAACAAAACCTAAATTACACCACCATCAACAATATTCCTACTCATCAAGATTGGACCACCTTATCCTCATAGAAGTTGGATGTAATGACAATTGGTATTTGGGGACATATCCTGGCAACATCCCAACAAGAAGATAAGCACGAAAATAAGCAAGGTGACTGGGGACGTATCCTGGCCCGGATTATTAACAAGGAGACCAACAAGACCGGGGACATATCCTATCCTGGAGCCCCCACAGGGACACACCCAAGTGTTACTGGTGACCCTGCAGGTCTGGCGCCCCCCACATGGAGACAAGCACCTATCCTGGCCCCGCATCTCCACAGGGAGTCAAGCACCTATCCTGGCTTAGCATCTCCATAGGGAAACAGACCACCTCTGTGGTCTTGTGGTAGAGCATCCGCCAGGAGAGCAGAAAGTCCGGGGCTCGATCCCCGACCGCTTCATACCAAGAGACGTTAAAAGATGGTACTTGTTGTTACCCTGTCTGGTGCTCGGTATTAAGGGACTAAAACAAGGACTGGTCGGCTCGGAGTCAGTATACTGTGTCTGAGTGGGGTATTCATGTTAAACTGCGGCATGGTATCTCAGTGACCTAGCACTATAAATCGGCATCAGTCCGGACTAGTACAAGCAGCCACACACACACGTGCATGCACGTGGCTATATAAGTGCAATAATCTTGGACGCGACGTTAAACCCAATTTCACCTCACCTCACCAAAGGGAAACAAGCAAGTGGTCCTGGGAACCTATCCTGGCCTGAAGCCCCAACAGGGACACAAGCAAGGAGTACTGGGAACCTATCCTAGCCTGAAGCCCCAACAGGGACACAAGCAAGGAGTACTGGGGACCTATCCTGGCCTGAAGCCCCAACAGGGACACAAGCAAGGAGTACTGGGGACCTATCCTGTGCTGGAGCCCCAACAGGGACACAAGCAAGGAGTACTGGGGACCTATCCTGGCCTGAAGCCCCAACAGGGACACAAGCAAGGAGTACTGGGAACCTATCCTGGCCTGAAACCCCAACAGGGACACAAGCAAGGAGTACTGGGGACCTATCCTGGCCTGAAGCCCTAACAGGGACACAAGCAAGGAGTACTGGGGACATATCCTGTGCTGGAGCCCCAACAGGGACACAAGCAAGGAGTACTGGGGACCTATCCTGGCCTGAAGCCCCAACAGGGACACAAGCAAGGAGTACTGGGGACCTATCCTGGCCTGAAGCCCCAACAGGGACACAAGCAAGGAGTACTGGGGACCTATCCTGTGCTAGAGCCCCAACAGGGACACAAGCAAGGAGTACTGGGACCTATCCTGGCCTAAAGCCCCAACAGGGACACATGCAAGGAGTACTGGGAACCTATCCTGTGCTGGAGCCCCAACAGGGACACAAGCAAGGAGTACTGGGGACCTATCCTGTGCTGGAGCCCCAACAGGGACACAAGCAAGGAGTACTGGGTACCTATCCTGGCCTGAAAACCTAACAGGGACACAAGCAAGGGGTACTGGGGATCTATTCTGGCCTGAAGCCCAAACAGGGACACAAGCAAGGAGTACTGGGGACCTATCCTGGCCTCAAGCCCTAACAGGGACACAAGCAAGGAGTACTGGGGACCTATCCTGTGCTGGAGCCCCAACAGGGACACAAGCAAGGATTACTGGGGACATATCCTGTGCTGGAGCCCCAACAGGGACACAAGCAAGGAGTACTGGGGACCTATCCTGGCCTGAAGCCCCAACAGGGACACAAGCAAGGAGTACTGGGGACATATCCTGTACTGAAGCCCCAACAGGGACACAAGCAAGGAGTACTGGGGACCTATCCTGGCCTGAAGCCCCAACAGGGACACAAGCAAGGAGTACTGGGGACCTATCCTGGCCTCAAGCCCCAACAGGGACACAAGCAAGGAGTACTGGGGACATATCCTGTACTGAAGCCCCAACAGGGACACAAGCAAGGAGTACTGGGGACCTATCCTGGCCTGAAGCCCCAACAGGGACACAAGCAAGGAGTACTGGGGACCTATCCTGGCCTGAAGCCCCAAAAGGGGCAAAAGCAAGGAGTACTGGGGACCTATCCTGGCCTGAAGCCCCAACAGGGACACAAGCAAGGAGTACTGGGGACCTATCCTGGCCTCAAGCCCCAACAGGGACACAAGCAAGGAGTACTGGGGACCTATCCTGGCCTGAAGCCCCAACAGGGACACAAGCAAGGAGTACTGGGGACATATCCTGTGCTGGAGCCCCAACAGGGACACAAGCAAGGAGTACTGGGGACCTATCCTGGCCTGAAGCCCCAACAGGGACACAAGCAAGGAGTACTGGGGACCTATCCTGGCCTCAAGCCCCAACAGGGACACAAGCAAGGAGTACTGGGGACCTATCCTGGCCTGAAGCCCCAACAGGGACACAAGCAAGGAGTACTGGGGACCTATCCTGGCCTGAAGCCCCAACAGGGACACAAGCAAGGAGTACTGGGGACCTATCCTGGCCTGAAGCCCCAACAGGGACACAAGCAAGGAGTACTGGGGACCTATCCTGTGCTGGAGCCCCAACAGGGACACAAGCAAGGAGTACTGGGGACCTATCCTGTGCTGGAGCCCCAACAGGGACACAAGCAAGGAGTACTGGGGACCTATCCTGGCCTGAAGCCCCAACAGGGACACAAGCAAGGAGTACTGGGGACCTATCCTGGCCTGAAGCCCCAACAGGGACACAAGCAAGGAGTACTGGGGACCTATCCTGGCCTGAAGCCCCAAAAGGGGCAAAAGCAAGGAGTACTGGGGACCTATCCTGGCCTGAAGCCCCAACAGGGACACAAGCAAGGAGTACTGGGGACCTATCCTGGCCTGAAGCCCCAACAGGGACACAAGCAAGGAGTACTGGGGACCTATCCTGGCCTGAAGCCCCAACAGGGACACAAGCAAGGAGTACTGGGGACATATCCTGTGCTGGAGCCCCAACAGGGACACAAGCAAGGAGTACTGGGGACCTATCCTGGCCTGAAGCCCCAACAGGGACACAAGCAAGGAGTACTGGGGACCTATCCTGGCCTCAAGCCCCAACAGGGACACAAGCAAGGAGTACTGGGGACCTATCCTGGCCTGAAGCCCCAACAGGGACACAAGCAAGGAGTACTGGGGACCTATCCTGGCCTGAAGCCCCAACAGGGACACAAGCAAGGAGTACTGGGGACCTATCCTGGCCTGAAGCCCCAACAGGGACACAAGCAAGGAGTACTGGGGACCTATCCTGTGCTGGAGCCCCAACAGGGACACAAGCAAGGAGTACTGGGGACCTATCCTGTGCTGGAGCCCCAACAGGGACACAAGCAAGGAGTACTGGGGACCTATCCTGGCCTGAAGCCCCAACAGGGACACAAGCAAGGAGTACTGGGGACCTATCCTGTGCTGGAGCCCCAACAGGGACACAAGCAAGGAGTACTGGGGACCTATCCTGGCCTGAAGCCCCAACAGGGACACAAGCAAGGAGTACTGGGGACCTATCCTGGCCTGAAGCCCTAACAGGGACACAAGCAAGGAGTACTGGGGACCTATCCTGGCCTGAAGCCCCAACAGGGACACAAGCAAGGAGTACTGGGGACCTATCCTGTGCTGGAGCCCCAACAGGGACACAAGCAAGGAGTACTGGGGACCTATCCTGTGCTGGAGCCCCAACAGGGACACAAGCAAGGAGTACTGGGGACCTATCCTGTGCTGGAGCCCCAACAGGGACACAAGCAAGGAGTACTGGGGACCTTTCCTGGCCTGAAGCCCGAGGTGAGGTGAGATGAAATTGGGTTAAAATAGCAATGTGCGTGCACGTGTGTGTGTGGCTGCTTGTACTAGTCCGGACTGATGCCAGTTTATAGTGAAAGCTCACTGAAACACCATGCTGCAGTTTAACATGGATACCCCCCTCACAGTATACTGACATCGACCAGTCTTTGTTTTAGCCCCTTAATGCTGAGCATCAAACAGGGTAACAACAAGTACCATCTTTTAACGTCTTTAGGTATGACGCGGCCCCGGACGTTCCACTCTCTGGGAGGGCGCTCTACCACTAGACCACGGAAGCGGTCCCACAATCCCCAGAGGAAAACAAGGAAGCAGTTCTGAACTTTCCTGGCCTGGAGCCCTACTGGGAGATAAGGACGACCAAGAGTGAGTGAGTGAATGTTGTACGGTGCAAGCAGCAATATTCCAGCTATAACACAGCAGCTCCCTTTAAAAACGAAGTCTTGCCATGGCAAACAAGTGGTTGATAGCATGAGCAAGCAATACATGCCATTTCAGTATGATTGCGCAAGGTCAGCCAGATCACACAGTGTAACAAGTCAATAGTTTTAATCACCTCTAACAAGCAAGAGGCTTTTTGGTTTGTTGTTTAACGCCGCACTCAGCAATATTCCAGCTATATGACAGCGGTCTGTAAATAATCGAGTCTGGACCAGACAATCCAGTGATTGATATCATGAGCATCGATCCAAGCAATTGGGATCGATGACATGCATCAACCAAGTCAGCGAGCCTGACCACCCGATTCTGTTAGTTGCCTTTTACGACAAGCAGAGTCACATTTTAGGGCAAGCATGGGTTGCTGAAGACCTATTCTACCCCCGGAGTCTTCACGGGTCACAAGCAAGAGGCACTATTCAACCCTGGAATCACCATGGTGATGTCCCATAAATCACAACAACTTTCCTTACCTAACAATCTTGCAAGAATGTCGAAACGATCTGATCCAAAGATAAGTTCTGGTCCTGATTCCACATGAGCAACAATAATTGGTGCACCAAATGCCTGTAAAAGCAATGAAACAGACAATGATACCAATGTCTTCTTCAAAATCTGGAATTTTTTATTTACATATGAACCCATATGAACTGTTCAAAGAAGAATAGTTTTTTAAGGTCTACAGTTGGATCAGAATTATACGAAAACCAAAATGCCTAAAAATCTAACGTAACATGATTGATTCAAACGAATACAGTTATCAAATGTACATCTAGAGCCTCATAACTGATACCAGAAGGAATATCTGCTAATCTTTCATCAGAAAATAACTGCTGTAGTATGTTAGAGCAGAATGAGTGAGTGAGTTGGGGTTAACGCCGCTTTTAACAGTATTCCAGTTATATCGCGGCGTGTCAGCTTGATGTGGGAGGAAAGTGATGCAGGTCTCAGATGTTTACGACTTCGGTGAAACCCAAGAGCACGGGTATGGTGCTGACAAACCTAGAAACATAATCGGGGTGAACCGGGATTCGAACCCACAATCATAGGTTTCTGGTGTGCCCAAGAGACGCAACTCTGCACAGCGAATTGCGGCCCCTTAGACGACTGGGCCACCCGTGCCCCCTGTTAGAGCTGAAACTTACCATATGGTCCAGTGCTTCCTGTGTGGTCTCTTTCAGCTTATCTTTGACCTCTTGGTTCTTGATCCGACCCAATGCATCTTTGATTACTGCATCACTAAGACCAGCCTTCTTCCCTGCCTGAAATACCAGCATGGGTAACAATGGTAACCATTATATGTTATGAACTGTGTTGGCCTAAAAGCAATGCCAAAAACAACTGCATAAGTGAGAGGGTATGGTTTTACGCTGCTTTTAGCAATATTTCAGCAATATCACAGCGGGGGACACCAGAAATGGGCTTCACACATTGTACCCATGCAGGGAATTGTACCCGGTCCTTCGGTGTGACAAGCGAAGGCTTTAACCATAAGGCTACCCCACCGCCCCAACAACTGCATAAAACATACTTTATCAAACTTCAATTCCTTTTGGAGACAATTAATCCTCTTTCACTTGGAATCATAAAAATACAAATGTATTTCTGACTTGCAGTCTATTTTCTTTGTTTAATTCATATCACCACATTTCAACTAACAATTTACCAGTTATGTGACAAGAAAAGCTTGTACCAAATCACCTGGATTTGTACTTTTGCCACTAAACTAAGGTTGTCGGGACTGATATTCAAATATTTTCTGCATAAGTACCAAGGACTAAAACTTGCACCAAACCTTAACCATGTTAATGATTTGAACAAAATATGACGTCATCATAAGGAGAAACATACACACCAAAGTTCAGCTCTCAGGGGTCTGGATATTTCAGAGAAGGTTACAGAACTATATACACATGTTAAGAGAACTTAAAGCATGGTTAAAACAAGGCTAACATTACTTTTCTTTTTACAAAAAATGGAACATGTTTTGAATCCCCTCCCCACAACTAACCCCCACTCTTACAATAAATTACAAGTCCCTAAATATTGTTCAAAAGAAAAAATTTAATTTGTAAAAATTACTAAGATGCCATTTACTCTCACCACCCTATAAACCAGTGTGATAATTTTGGTGATCCCCAACTTTCGTTGTCATTTTTCATGACACCATCCCCCACTCCCCAAGATGTTGTATTAGACTGTGTAATGTAGATCAATAACGTCATGTGCAAATGTTGATTTTGTTTTATTACCTCCAAAAAACTATCTGGCTGTGTGATATCTTCATCCTGAAAGACAAAACAAAACAAAATGTGAATGATTCAACATAGTTTGAAAAAACAGAAACCAGAATACCTTCCATAGCTTCAACTTGAGTCACATTTGATGCTGAATATAGGCATGCAATCAAATAATGAGTGTGAGTGAGCTTTTAACAGTATTCCAGTTACATCACAGCGTGTCAGCTTAATGTGGGAGGAAAGCCCGAAGTGATGCAGGTCTCAGACGTTTACCACTTCGGTGAAACCCACGAGCACGGGTATGATGCTGACAAACCTAGAAACATAATCGGGGCGAACTGGGATTCGAACCTACAATCATAGGTTTCTGGCGTGCCCAAGGGACGCAACTCTGCACAGTGAATCGCGGCGCCTTAGACGACTGGGCCACCCGTGCCCCCTGGCTACATTTGAACCAAATACACAACCAGACAGCATGTGATTGCAGGCATCAAAGCGTGAGAGAAAACTGTAGGCGTTATTGACAGGAGAGATTGTGATGGTGACATCATGAAGCAATAATAGCAAAACAGGTGCAGGGTATTTATTCGTAGAGAATGAAGATAAAACACCCTGGATGATAGAGGATGTTTTCTGTTCATGCACTTTGTTTAAAGGACAAATGACATTCCCTAGTTGGCCCACTTGCACAAAGTCTTAGCGCTAAGATGATCGTAACTCCCATACTTTAACATAGGCTTACAAAAGTTGTAGCGCTAAGATCGCTTTGTGCAAGTGGACCAGGTGTCTTTGCCCAATTCTCAAGGGTGAAAAAGACTTCAGAGTTAGATACCACTGGTAATATCCAACTAATACACAACTCATTTCAGACCAGTGAAAAAACAACTAGTCCCCCTTGATTCCTACTTACATCGGATTAACAGACTAGTGAAAATTACAACACTCTGATAAAATTAAAAGCTGTGGGTGGACTCATTATCTCTTCAGAGTGAATAACTGTTGAATGTCACAATCGTTATATGGAAGTGGCGACTGTTCTAAGCTTGCCTATAGTCAGTTGCAGCAAATGACTGACGCACTTGTAAAATGCTGGGTTCTGTTTTGGCCAGATTGTAAGAAAAAGTGTTATTTAGAGTTACTTCCCTTGGTTGTTGACAAACACAGGACAGATTTATCGTTCGAGAACTTTTGTGAAGTGACAGCTTCTAAAACCTTGCTGTTTCTATAAAAGGGTGAGTGAGTGAGTGAGTGAGTGAGTGAGTGAGTGAGTGAGTGAGTGAGTGAGTGAGTGAGTGAGTGAGTGAGTGAGTGAGTGAGTGAGTGAGTGAGTGGGTGGGTGGGTTGGTGAGTGAGTAAGTGAGTGAGGGTTTATGCCGCTTTTAACAATATTCCAGCAATATCACGGCAGGAGACACAAGAAATGGGCTTCGCACATTGTTCCCATGTTGGGAATTGAACCTGGGTCTTGGGTGTGACCAGCAAATGCTTTAACCACTAGGCTACCCTACCGCCCCCACAATCCATTAATTCACAAGGGCAGATAATGCAGCATTTCAATAGAGTTATTCTCAAATTGTATAGCTAAAAGATTGTTAAACCAAAAGCCCATCCTTTAGATGATTACTGATGGGAATGTCTATTAAAAAGGCAATACATATCGCAACATATTGTGACTTCCAATACGCATCCCTACTATTCATCATCAAGAAGGGAAAAAACAATGTATCATAAATTCATAATTTGTGTATCTGGGAAATTGTGAATTCATGAGGCATATCCCTCAATGAAACCTGCAACATTCAACATTAATTTAAGAACATTTGTCAGTGAGTAAAAGCAGTTTATGGCCGCAACAATAAAGCAATATCACGACAAAGAAGATGAGCGACACGCAATTGTCCAAAGACTATCAGCTGACCCTGCTCCATATTCTCATCCAGAGTTCGCGGGACAGAGCTTCTGTCTTGTCGGGCTGTTGCATGTCAACGGCTGTCACAAAGCGCATCGCCTGGAGAGATCCCTTCACCAGCACTGCCTCCACAAAATTCTGAAACAGTACAAAGAACAATGCCAAGTTTGTTTTTTTGTTGTTGTTTTGTTTTTGTTTTTTTGTTGATGTTTTGTTTGTTTGTTGTTGTTGTTGTTGGTGGGTTGTTGTTTTTTTGGGGGGGTCAAAACAGCCACAGAAGAAAGTGGACACAACCCACAGTCAAAAGGGCCACAAAAAAGTCATAATGGCCACAACAAAAAAGTCAAAGCGGCCACACAGACAAATAAAGTCTTCAGTATCACAAAAAAACAATAAAAGGATTCCTTATTATGGAACAAAGTCTACGCATGTTTTCACAACAGATTGGTACACTGATAAGTGGTTTGGTTTGTTGTTGTTTAATGCTGCACCCAGCAATATTTCAGCTATATGACGGCAGTCTGTAAATAATCGAGTCTGGGCCAGACAATCCAGTGATTGATATCATGAACATCGATCCACGAAATTGGGATATGATGACATGCATCAACCAGGTCAGCGAGCCTGACCACCCGATCCGTTAGTCGCCTCTTACGACAAGCATGGGTTGCTGAAGACCTATTCTAACCCGGATCTTCAAGGTCTCTTGGTGAATGTGGAAGAGTCCTTCCCCATATATGACTAGGGCAGTGAAATATTGGTGAAAATTATTAATCTTAATCAAAGTAGGTTTATCATTATCGTATCAATGTTATCAGATGCGGTTATTCTTGGATGTTTATGTGTTGATTGGCTCACCCATATAAAATATTTTCTTTTTTCAGTTCGGTTTTGGATTTGTATTGTACAATGTCAGCCTGTATCTTTATAAAGAACATCAAGTTGAACATGTCACATAACTTGTACAGCTGTGTTCTTAAATATCCACAAAATGTAAACCCAAGCAAGTTTGCGTCTATAAATTATACTGAGCTCCAGATAAGCTTTTGGTGTTGTGGGTATTTTACCCATGCATTTTAAAATCATTGGGTATCAGTAATTCTATCTGGGTATTCAAATTTCTGTTACCCACTAGTATTTACACATGAGGGTATTTAAGTTAAATATTTAAAAACACTATTCATCTAGTCCCTGCAAACTGGTGTCGTGTGGGTTCGAGAGCTTTATAGGACTCAAAAATACCACGATACAACATGAACAAAGACACCACAACTTCAATTTAATAAACAACATTTTGACTCCAAAATATTTTGGATGCTCACATACTTTTCACACCCACACAAAGATTCATTACCTGATAAAACAATAATCTGATAATACCCTATCTAAATATAATTCACTTATTCAAGAATATTTTGGCATTCAATCAAGTTACCTACAGCAGGCTGATTGAGAGGAATGTTCATGAATTCCCGCAACCTCTTCAAATCCTTGCTCATGTAAGCTGCTTTGTTGGGTACAGAGGCGGGGGGCTTGTTTCCTGAAAAAAGACTTTCCGTTAACACTATGTGACTGCCATCATACGAGACCCATGAAGATCCGGGGTAGAATAGGTCTCCAGGAACCCATGGTTGCCGTAAAAAGGCGACTATGCTTGTCGTAAAAGGCGACTAACGGGATCGGGTGGTCAGGCTCGCTGACTTGGTTGATGCATGTCATCGATCCCAATTGCGTGGATCGATGTTCATGATGTAAATCACTGGATTGTCTGGTCCAGACTTGATTATTTACAGACCGCCGTCTTATAGCTGGAATATTGCTGGGTGCGGCATAAAACAACAAACCAAAAACCAAACCAAAGCCATTATACGAAAGCCTATTGGGATCAAACTGTTGCTATTTTTTTTTTTTTAAACCTCATAATTACCCAAGTTGTAATTATGAGCTCTTTAACCCTCTTGGTGCCATATATGGTCCTGAGAAAATGCCCTTTTTAAACTGTGAATTTATGAGTGCACAAAGTCAAAATTATAACCATCATCACCCCAATCATCTTGCAACTCATACTTTATACAATGCTACTGATTGCGAAATATGGAGAGATTAGTAAAGTGGATACCGCACTTCTCGGCCTTTCTCTGCCATGTTTGAACACCAAGCGAATGACGACAAATTTTGATTATGCACCCATGTCACATAAATATTTTCAGACAAAATCCTTGTTTATAAGAAATAATATGACCAGAGTGGTCAGAAAGACATGTTTCTCACAACTGTATACTTATTCACGAAAATAGATTTCTGTTTACTCCTTTACGTTTCAACAATTTTAATTGAATCTACATGTACTTACTCTTGGGTGGTATTACGTTAGTATAATCTTGTTAATTATTAAGAAATAATAATGATGCCCGAAATTGAGTGATGTCAATTTGAGCATTGTTAGGGCTGCACAGCGATCTTTCACATTTTGTCCTTTGAAAATGTATGATCTCAATTACCCCGAAATTGTTTTTATCACTAATATAAGAGCACGGTCACTGAAACATACATGGACGTAATCAGGATTTTTTCAAGATATAGATTCCAAACTGTCATTCGAATTGTAACATAATCTTTGAAACAGTCTGCGCATGAATTAATCATGATCACTTCCGTCAATTTTGTTTTGATGTCAAAAACACTCACAATTTCATCATGATTGTTTATTGGTAAAAATAACACACGGAAAATTCTCAGTGAATGTGTACTTCAACATACATGTCATATGTCTATCACTGTTAGGACATGTACTTGCCAATGATATGAATTATTGGACATTTAGATTTCAAACAAGGGCGCTTACTTGACTTTGCTTGCCATATTCGGGTGCTTCCATATTACGATTAATGTAGAAAAGTAGGAAACTTATAATACCAGCACTTTTATCGATGGCTAGGCAGTGCATAGATCTTTTGGATTTGGTGACTTTAGATACTGATGGAAAGACAATCAACTCGAGTTGCATGTTATACAATTTGGTTACACTGTGTGAAGAAATGTAACATAACACTTTTGAGTGAGTATGGTTTTACGCCGCTTTTAGCAATATTCCAGCAATATCATGGCGGGGGACACCAGAAATGGGCTTCACACATTGAAACCCATGTCGGGAATCGAACCCGGGTCTTCGGCGTGACGAGCGAACGCTTTAACCACAAGGCTACCCGACCGCCCCGTAACACTTTTGATACAATGTATACGTTTTTGAAACAGCAACGTCATCACAGTGCGGTACTGAGCGGTATGCAGGCTGACTGACGTCCAGGCACCATGAGGGTTAAAGTTTGTTTTTGTTTTTTTAACGGGAACGGTCTGGTCATTTATTATGGGAGTGTAGGAGGGGGCCATGCTTATGAAAAAATGTTAAAAAATTAAATGTTAAATAATTGGGCAGTGGTGGGGAAATGTTACAGAAAAGGGGAGGGGGTATGACCAGTTCCTTCCATGACACTTGACAGTGCACAAATATTTATCATAATTATCCTGCAGCGATAATTAGTTTAGTAAGAATATACAAAACTATATCAAAAATAGTTTGATCAGAGATAAGAGATTTGTGGCATGCTGTTATTTGTACAATAATCATATGTCAATGACATCATGTAACCTGTTGTCTAGAATCTTTTCAGTGCCTGTCAACAGCTGGTCAAAATGATCTTGTGTACTTTTTCAAGAGTTTTCCATTGACCGTAACTTTTCAAGAATTCATCGTTCTAAGCATAGAGTAACGGAAAGTAACCATCATATATAGATTAATCATACCTTTGTTCTTGAACAAGCAGATCACAATCCCTTGACAGCTTGTTATTTATCCATAGTCTTGTGAATTTGTGGTCAGAACTAAGTGACATGTTTCGATGACGCCCACCATTTTAACTTTGAGACCGCCAGTTTGGGTCGCTATGAAGTTACTAATTTATGCTCAAAATTAGTATTTAGCACTATAAAGTTGATTTAATCAACCGTATTATGTACGGAGGACACCATAACCGCTTTTGGTGCTATGGTTTCCTTGATCTATCTGCTGAATTTATATCCTGCCCGTACCATTTTGGAGGAGGGAAATCAGAGAACTCGCCAAAGACGTTTATGTTAACTGAACGACCACATGCCGAAGACGAGAATTTAAAATCAACAAACTCAAGTCTGCTTTGTGCTTACATGTATGTGACAGCTTCGAACGAAAGGCAAGGCCACCATCAGAATAGGAACAGACAACCGTGATCTACTCACAGCGTTTTACACTAGAGATCAATAGGGGACGCCGAGCGCCAGACAGAGCAACAACAAGTACCATCTTTTAACGTCTTTTGGTATGACACGGCCGGGGATCGAACCCCGGACCTTCCGCTCTCCGGGCGGACGCTCTACCACTAGACCACGGAGGCGGTCATAGGCAGTTTGGCAGGGTAAATAGGTTTTAACAGGGAGTCTATATACATTTAATATATTCCCTCAGTTTGCACTGTAATTAATGCCAGAGAATGGCCTGTTAACTTTGTGGACGAGGTGCGGGGATCTGCAGGCTGACAATATACGTAAAGTAACACAATACGTGGCAGTCTGACAGTGAGGGTTAAAGATAGTACGCTTTCTGTGAGTCGAGACTTGACCCTCGGACGGTGGCTAGGCTGTCAACTAAATATTTCTGAAAGATGGTCAGCTACTCGGAACGTATATTAACAGAGCTGCCAAAGAAATGTTATCAATAATTATATACATATATATAATTATCTCAAAATAAATATCCATACTGATAATCCCAATAGATATGTGTACCCAACTCACACACATGAATCCTAAAGAGGGGCAGGTCAACCGAAATAGCAAAGGCAGAAGGCGACCTCTTAAACACCTAAAACAACTGGGTCATTCTGACTTGGGCAGTCTAAGGGTTAGTTTCAATCCAAAGGCGGTGGTAATGCTGGGTTTTACAAAATAACTATCAATAACTATTTTTTGCACCTATATTTAGCATTTTAATTGTCTTGACAATTTAAAATAACTAACAATAACAAATTGTAACTTGGCATCTCAGAGAGTGAGTGAGTGAGTGAGTTGGGTTTAACGCCGCTTTTAACAGTATTCCAGTTATATCGCGGTGTGTCAGCTTAATGTGGGAGAAAAGCCCGAAGTGATGCAGGTCTTAGACGTTTACCACTTCGGTGAAACCCACGAGCACGGGTATGGTGCTGACAAACCTTGAAACATAATTGGGGCGAACCGGGATTCGAACCCACAATCATAGGTTTCTGGCGTGCCCAAGGGACGCAACTCTGCACAGCGAATCGCGGCGCCTTAGACGACTGGGCCACCCGTGCCCCAGGCATCTCGGAGAACAAAGAGACAAAAATAACATATTCACAACCTGAGCCTTGCATTACTCCTCCAAGAAAGAATGGTCGTAACTGCAGATTTATGTTCCATGATCCACTAGCTCTGTATCGACACAGCACCTGCAAATGAAACAGTGCATGGCCCTGTTACCTCACATTTAGTCTGTGCATGTTATTATAGTTATTGCAGATCCAAAAAAATAACTGGAACTATTCAAATCCCAAATGGGTATGTGAGTACTACCGTATTCATCATAATAAGCGCTCTGATTAACGCCATTTGCTAATATATTGGCACGTTAACAATCCCAATTGGCACCCCTTCTGATCAATGTACACAAGACTTATTTATTTGTGTTATATGCATCCTTAATTATGAGAAATTAAATTCTGGACAAATATATCATATATAAACAGTTCAGCATAAACCAACGAAATTTACGATCTTTCAACTCTGTTGTTTTTCACCAAAATAATATTCTGATAAGAGACCCCTATTTCTAATTTTGAGGGCGCCCTGGGCGCTTATTATGTCGAATACGGTAATTAGGGCTAGAATAAGTCCAAATCATCGACCCGACACTGTAGGTCTGTAGAGCTGGGTACAAAATGTCCAATTGGGAAATTTTTACTGGAGCCCTGGCAAAAACTATTAAGACACACCTACATAACAATCTCATCATGCATACACTGAAGTTGACTGAAGCTTTATTTTTACTCATACAAATACAAGTTATAAGGAATGTGTGCACAGTCGGAAAGAAACGCGAACATAGGTGACTTGTTGTGCAATCATGGAGTTTTAATGTTATTTTCTTTAAACATTATAACATATGTGACAAACCTGGGGCTGGGACGAGTACAAATTTTCAACACGGGTATTTGACCCTGAAACAATGCTTACATTTAGAAAGAAAGGCAAACATAAGCGACTTTTATTGTTATTGTATGTAAACTATATATCACATGACTAACCATATGCATGTGTCCAGGTAGTCCAGTGGGTATGCAGGTCCTACTCCAGACCCAGCCAGCCTGCCTGAGTGCCCAAGTTACACATCCCAGCCCAAGTACTAATTGTTGGAAGATGCATCGTACATTTGTCAGTGTTTACAGAGACAAAACTTTTCAATTTACCATACTTAAATATATCTTGGAAAAGATTTCTGCCCATAACCCCTTCTTCAATTTTAACCCTAAAATTTAAATATTTGTAACTTTTGCTTGTCCCACATCATATGATAAATGATTTTTAATACTTCAAGCCAGGGGTTATATATTAATATTTTTTTTAAAAAGGGTTACTTGCTTAAGTTTTGCCAATATCTTTTTTGATATTTGTTCGTTTCACAACCAGACCTGTTTATGTTCTACAGTGATTTTACATGTGCTTCTTACTGAGGCAAGTGATCAAAGTGTAAAGTTCATTCTTTCTGTCACTTGCTCGTGAACTGGTCAGAGGCTTCCTTGGTGTACTCAGTGTCATTTCTATGTACGGTATCCCCCCAAACAAACCAAATTCTATATATTAATCTGACATATTTGTACCTCAAATGCAAACCATGAATATGGAGAAACAACATCATAAAACAACTCGACTCTCTTCTTTGCCGACATTTTACGTGAATGTCTCTCGCAAAGCTCCTCACAGCGTTTAGTAGCTGAAACCAAGCTCCTCACAGCGATAGTACGTTCGCGGAGCTCTCTATACTATAGAGACAAGGTGAAGGTCACTTCAGTGAGGACCTTCGAGTAACTTTGAACCTAACGTCATTCCATCAGTTTCGTGCTGATGTTCGGGGCAAGTATACCACTCGGTCAAGTATATACAACCGTATTCATCAGAGCATTCATTGCGGGTCGCATCTTAGCAGGTGAATGAGTATGGTTTTACGCCGCTTTTAGCAATATTCCAGCAATATCACGGCGGGGGACAGCAGAAAATTAGCCAGTAATTGATAAGCTAAAACTTATGAACCACGAAGAACCCCAACCCACCGATGGCTACGGCACTGCATGGCTAATCATGATTCTCTATATTTTCAGAAAAGTCCATGATAAACATTTCTTGAAAAGTCAAGCAACTTTATGTAAACATGGAATGTCTCAAGTTGCAGACACCATGGAAGGGCCTCTTGATAAAATCTTGTATCAGAAAGCAATGGCTTATTATCCAAAGGTGCTTCCATCACGCATCACCAGTGCCACACAAGAAACAGTGTCATCTCAGTAATCATGGTAACAGGACAATAGCTACAAACCTTTCCCAGAAAGGCAGATATGTATGGCAGGCGTCACCAGGACAAGAAGTAGGACCTTGTATACTTCGCCAAGAAAATAACAGAAGGCATATCTGCAGAAAGTATTTTAGTACAACTTCTAAAAAATTGGAAGTAACATTAGACACTGTATTCTCAGAAAATAACAAGAAACGAGTACAAGATCATCTCTTGGGGTTTAGGCCCTCCAGTGTGTCAAGGTCACAGACGGGTCACTCCGCAGTGCTTGTGCCTCTGTGTACAGTCAATGGAGAACCTTCCTTCCTGTTTACCCTCAGGTCAAACTCTCTACGCACTCACAGAGGTCAAGTCAGGTAGGTAGTGAAAACATAAATGTCCCAAGCATGTATTTGTTTTTGTTTCCATGAACATAAAGTCCAGTTAGGCTACCTACGTCCACCAACTGACTATCTGTTATTGATTGGCTGATAACAGAGTGCATTATTGCACTGATCGTTGTAACTGTCATTTTGTGCCGTCTACAGTTTTTGTATGTTAATGATTAATTACCCCGGTAACCAGTCTGTAAAGTTATGTTTGTTGACTTACTTAGTTATGAGAATTGACTGTAGGTATAACATAAAAAATGTTGAGCACACTTTGAGTAAATCCGCGGATTTCCTCAGTGTAGACAGCTGTTTCCAGGTTTTAATGCTCCATAAAAGTATTGAAGTCAGTTCTTAAATATACAGACAAAGAAGTAGAGGTTGAAGTGAAGTATGTCCCATCAATCAGAATTCATAAAATGTAGAGTCACTGGACTATCTAAGGCAGTTAGATAAAGAAAGTTTGCATCATGCTCTAGATGATGAAGAAGAATGTTTTTGGCAGTGCTTCAGATACAGTATGTTGATGTGTTTTAGTTTTCCAGGTGGCAAGATGGATGACACTGACAGGGACGTCGTCCATACTGCGCTGCGGGAAACATGGGAGGAACTTGGCATTACCATGGAAACTGTAGATGTATGGGGAGCCATGATGGATCTTCCAAGCAGGGTAGCTACTGAGGATTACATGGCTTGTGTTTAGTCTGCAGCTTGACGAGAACCATCTTTGACTTTAGCCACGAGTCAAGTCAAGTACACTTTCTTTTGCTCCGATAATATCAGATAGTCCGTATACTAAGACTAACGTTTACAGAAATAATGCAGATACAGGTTTGTAACTCAAAACTTTAGTTATTCAGATATCAGAAAAGTTTGGATTTAGTAAACACAATGTGACCTTATTTTTAAAACAATTATCATGATTATGTCAATACTCACTACTGAGTTATCATTGTTAAATCTGTTGTTAGTATCATTCTAAAATGAATAGACAGTTGCCATAGCTATATCAGTAGTGTGTACAGTGGGGTAGGCCAATGGTTAATGTGCTTGCTTGTCATACCAAAGACTTGGGTTCAATTTCCCACACAGGTACAATGTATAAAGCCCATTTCTGGTGTCCTCCGCCATGATATTGCTGGAATATTTCTAAAACGGCGAAAATCATTACAGTTATCGCAATAATAGTGAGTTATCATTGTATCGGTAGTGTGTGATAGTTATATAAATAATAGTGAGTTATCATTTTCAAATCAAGAGTGAGTTATGGTCAGTTTAGTACTGAGTTATAGCTGTACATAGTGAGTTGTAATATTGGAGATAGGTCTTCAGCAACCCATGCTTGCCGTAAAAGGCAATTGTGCGACTAACAGGATCGGGTGGTCAGGCTCCCTGACTTGGTTGATACATTTCAGCGATCCCAATTGCGTGGATCGATGCTCATGATGTCAATCACTGGATTGTCTGGTCCAGACTCGATTATTTTACAGACCGCCGTCATATAACTGGAATATTGCTGAGTGCGGCGTAAAACAACAAACCAAAAAGCCTCTTGCTTGTTAGAGGTGATTAAAACTGTGCAGCGTTAAACAACAAACAAACAAAAAATGTAATATTGGTAGCCAGTTATTGTTGCGCACATGTTTCCATGGTACAAAATGAATTGCAGGTGTCTGCAGCAGGAATGTGACTCATGTATGTGATCAACATTTAGGCAGAAATGAGGGGGACCACAGTGTCTCTTGTTCACTTTGTTTACCAGTTGCTTGGATTGAATGTAGTCATTTCTGGAGACATACAAAGTGGTTGTGCCCAGTTGCCTCCCTTATTTGTACCAGGATCCACCAATCATGGTACGAATCCCAGATTAGCCCTGAATACATTCCTTGATCACTCCATGTATTTCCTTTGGTGATGTAACAAGTTTCTGTTTATCATTCATTCAACTGTCAGAATACAAATAAATTCTAAGTACATCGTTATTACCTCTCTTCAGGAGAACAGAGTGACGCCAGTGATCGGTCATTGTGGTGAGGTGGACGTCGAGGGGCTCACTCTCAGTGAGGATGAGGTGAGTGTCACACTTGTGATGGTACATGCAGCTGCAGGTGCAACAGATGCAATATTTGATATTTAGATGCAAAGGATTTAATTTCTGCAACTGTTGAAACAACAAACAACAGAAGTATTTCTTATAAGGATAAAACTGAAAAAGTCATCTTGCTATCACCTGCACACTAATGTACATCAATACTTGAAAACTGGTCGTTCAACCATTGCATGTGCAAACCATCAATGACACACAGTTCCATTTTGCAAATTTAACTTTAAAATCTATAAAATGGGCAGGAGACAAATCATTATTGTTACTTAACAGTTCAGGTAAGAATAATTTCTATATGAGCTTCCAATATGATGAAGGAGCATGTATGCTTCGTTTCCCTCAAGTACACAGGGAAACTCCTGTTAGAAGAATGTCACCATGGGAATTCTGGGATAAAGTACGGTGAGGTGAGGTGAGGTGAGGTGAAATTGTTTAACGTCGCGTCCAAGATTATTGCACTTATATAGCGACGTGCATGTGCGTGTGTTTGTGTTGCTGCTTGTACTAGTCCGGACTGATGCCGATTTATAGTGCTAGCCCACTGAGATACCATGCCGCAGTTTAACATGAATACCCCACTCAGACACAGTATACTGACTCCGAGCCGACCAGTCCTTGTTTTAGCCCCTTAATGCCGAGCGCCAGACAGGGTAACAACAAGTACCATCTTTTAACGTCTTTTGGTATGATGCGGCTGGGGATCGAACCCCGGACCTTCCGCTCTCCGGGCGGACGCTCTACCACTAGACCACGGAGGCGGTCTAAAGTACCGGTACCGTGTCATACACAGCAATAACATGGATGAAGCTGTCAGGCTCGGTCACTTGTAATCCTACCCCATTGCTCATTTTATCATGCTCTTGTGTTTTACTGGTCCTGAGTGTAGTCTTGAACAACAAACTGTCATTAATCATGTTAATATCTTTGTGTAATTTAGGGAAATTACTCCACGACGATGATTTGTGTATGTGGACCCCTGTAGGTTTTGATTGTTTGTTTGTTGTTTATCGCTGCAATCAGCAATATTCCGGCTATGTTACAGCAGTCTGTCAATAATCGAGTTTGGATCAGACAGTCAAATGATTGATGTCATGAGCATCGATCTACGCAATTGGGATACAATGACATGCATCAACCAAGTCAGCGAGCTTGACCACCCGACCCCGTTAGTCACCTCTTACAACAAGCATAATCGTCTTTTACAGCAAGCATGGGTTGCTGAAGACCTATTCTATTCCAGGCAAGAATAGGTCCCCAGCAGCCTATGCTGTTTGTAATGAAGACTTTATAGATTGGATGCACAGGCTCATTTACTTGGTGGGGCACGGGTGGCCCAGTCGTCTAAGGCGCCGCGATTCGCTGTGCAGAGTTGCGTCCCTTTGGCACGCCAGAAACCTATGATTGTGGGTTCGAATCCCGGTTCACCCCGATTATGTTTCTAGGTTTGTCAGCACCATACTCATGCTCGTGGGTTTCACCGAAGTGGTAAACCTCTAAGACCTGCATCACTTCGGGCTTTCCTCCCACATTAAGCCGACACGCCGCGATATAACTGGAATACTGTTAAAAGCGGCGTTAAACCAAACTCACTCACTCACTCACTTACTTGGTTGTTTGTGTGTCATCATACATCAGCAACATGAGACTGCTCATAATATCAATCACTAGATTATCTGGTCCAGACATTTTTCATTTACAGGCCACCATCATACAGCTGGAATATTGCTGAGTGTGGCATTAAACAAGAAAAATGTTAATAAAAAAAACGTGGAAACTTGGAATGGAACAGTCCTTGTTAAAGAGGTTACACTGTAGATATTCTTTCACATCTTCATTTCAGGTGGAGTTGGTGTTCACACGCACAGTGAAATCACTGTGTGATCCCAAAAACAACGGCCAGACCCAGTTTCGAACCAGTCCCGGCTACACCCTGCCCGTGTTTCTTGGTGGAGAACACAGAATCTGGGGACTGACATCGATGGTGCTCTTCCAGGCTCTGACCATCATCGCCCCAGGACTGTACCGTCACAAGCTCAGACATCGGTCTTGATGAATTTTCTGTTTAGGCTATTTATATTTTAACCTGTTTTGTTTTTTTATCAATATATGCTATACTATTTATTGATACAGACTATATTAATTGATTAATCAATTATCATTCAACATGCCCCTATATTCCTAAAAACATCACTGTGCAGAGTTGCGTCCCTTGGGCATGCCAGAAACCTATGATTGTGGGTTCGAATCCCTGTTCGCCATGATTATGTTTCTGGGTTTATCAGCACCATATCCGTGCTCGTGGGTTTCACTGAAGAGGTAAACGTCTGAGACCTGCATCACTTTGGGCTTTCCTACCACATTAAGCTGACTCGCCGTGATATAACTGGAATACTGCTCAAAGTTAAACCCAACTTACTCACTCCTAAATACAAGTTCTCTGATAAGTTCATAAAGTCCAGGAGGCAGGATTTAAAAAATCAAATCTTGAATTGGGTAAACGATGACATGCATCAAACAAGTCAGCAAGCCTCTTATGACAAGACCTAAAGACGTTAAAAGATGGTACTTGTTGTTACCCTGTCTGGCGCTCGGCATTAAGGGGCTAAAACAAGGACTGTCGGCTCCTAGTCAGTATACTGTGTCTGAGTGGGGTATTCATGTTAAACTGCGGCATGGTATCTCAGTGAGCTAGCACTATAAATCGGCATCAGTCCGGACTAGTACAAGCAGCCACACACACACACACACGTACATGCACGTCGCTACATAAGTGCAATAATCTTGGACGCGACGTTAAAAAAACCCATTTCACCTCACCTTATGACAAGCCTCTTAAGACAAGCATAGTCGCCTCTTGCGGCAAGCATGGGGTTGCTGAAGATTTATTCTACCCCGGATCTTCACAGGTCCAATCTCAGGAAGAGACATGCTTGGATTTCCACTGAATTAATACACTTACAACTGCTGTTGTTTTTCCTTGTATTTTATTACCATTGCATGTTTATGCATGACATAAAGCGGTTTCAGGTGAAAACAATTTTGGAATACTGTTGCGAATGATACTGTATTATGGTGAATGACATATATATTATATATTTATGAATCATATTTATATCTAATATAGATAATTATAGGTATTGTTAAATGTGATGAAGGCTTGTTACATGCTGTATGCTTTTATCCTGGGGATGTAATGAATAAACAATGGTAAACACAAATAAACATGTTTGTGTTGTTGGGCTTCTGTACCAAGAGACTGTCTCCGTGGTCTTGTGGTAGAGCGTCCGCCTGGAGAGCGGAAGGTCCGGGGTTCGATCCCCGGCCGCGTCATACCAAAAGACGTTAAAATATGGTACTTGTTGTTACCCTGTCTGGCGCTCGGCATTAAGGGGCTTAAAGCAAGGACTTGTCGGCTCGGAGTCAGTATACTGTGTCTGAGTGGGGTATTCATGTTAAACTGCGGCATGGTATCTCAGTGGGCTAGCATTTTTAATCGGCATCAGTCCGGACTAGTACAAGCAGCCACACACACACACGTGCATGCACGTCGCTATATAAGTGCAGTAATCTTGGATGCGACGTTAAACCCAATTTCACCTCACCTCACCTGTAGCAAGAACTGTGAATGATCTCATCTATGCTTGTGCTCAATACCATAGCTCACAAAATGAAGCTAGTCAGTCAAGCTACTTAGATTTTATTTTCACTTGCCTAAAGAAAAGAAAGTAGCCTGTTGCTTTTATACTATTATTTTGCTATAACTCATTAACTTGATACATATTCATTAAGGCACATATACAGACATTCAACAATGTACCGTATTAGTTTGTTTGTTGTTTAACGCCACACTCAGCAATAATCCAGCTAAATGACGGTGGTCTGTAAATAATCGAGTCTGGACCAGACAATCCAGTGATTGACATCATAAGCAACGATCCACACAATTGGGATATGATGACATGCATCGACCAAGTCAGCAAGCCTGACCAACCGATCCCATTAGTCGCCCCTTATGTATTTTGAAATATGTTTCTGAATATACATTGATAACAATGCGTAAGAGAGTATGTCATGAGTTTCAAAGTAATATTTCAATGGAATGTTTTGTGGGTTCTGTAAGGAAACATAACATGACAAATAGAACTCCAGGTTTTCATTATAGTGGCAGGCGGTCGGGTAGCCTAGTGGTTAAAGCGTCCGCTCGTCACACCGAAGACCCAGGTTCGATTCCTGACATGGGTACAATGTGTGAAGCCCATTTCTTGTGTCCCCCGCCGTGATATTGCTGGAATATTGCTAAAAGCGGCGTAAAACCAAACTCACTCATACAGGGACCCAAAAGTCTCCCTGACTTCAGGACCACCTCCACGGTCTAGTGGTACAGCGTCTGCCCGAAAGGTCCAGGGCTGGATCCCCGGTCGCGACATACCAAAAGACGTGCAAACTGCACACTCACTGCAAGCATTGTGCAAATGATGATGATGTCATTTCTGCTGTGGAGGACTTGTTGCACCACAAGAAGGATGTCTTCTACACGGGTGATATCCAGGCACTCCAGCATCGTTGGCGGAAGTGTGTGGACCTCGGAGGTCTAACTCATCAACGCAGTCGATCTTAGTTACGCTCACTTTCCAGCCAGCCCTCAAATTCAGTGCCTTTGTATGGCTCGATGATCACTTAAAGAATTGACGTTCTATTTTATTTAGTTTAATGGATTATGATTCATCACAGAGTAACATCTTAACTCTTTTAATCGGATTTTACAAAACGTATTACCGTCTACACGTGTCAACATACGTTTGAAAGTCAGTGTCAAGAAGCTACTTGTGAACTTCACATCAAACAGTTACTTTTCTTCACTTTGTGTAGTTTCATCAACATCTTCATTCCCTGGAGACAAGAGTTTCCTATTTTGCCATGATGTTAATCTACACACACCACACTAGTCCACCCTTCAGACACCAACACTCAAAACCACCTTTCTGACACCAACACCCTAAACCACCTTTATGACACCCCAACACCCCAAACCACCCTTATGACACCCCACCTTATGACACCAACAACCCCCCACCCTTCTGACACCAACACCACCCCAATGACACCCCACCACCCACCATATGGCACCAACACCCCAAACCACCCTTATGACACCCCCACCCACCCTTCAGACACCAACACCCCAAACCACCCTTATGACACCCCCACCCTTATGACACCAACACCCAAAACCACCCTCATGACACCCCACCACCCACCACCCACCATGACACCAACCACCCCACCACACGCCATATGACACCAACACCCCAAACCACCCTCATGACACTCACGACCACCCTTCAGACACCAACACCCAAAACCACCCTAATGACCCCACACTACCCACCATATGACACCAACACCCCAAACCACCCTCATGACACCCCACCATCCACCATATGACACCAATACCCCAAACCACCCCAATGACATCCCACCATCCACCATATGACACCAACACCCCAAACCACCCACATGATCCCCCACTACCTACCATATGACACCAACACCCCAAATCACCCTTATGACAACCCCACCCCCCCACCCCCACCCACCTTATTACCCCAACACACCAATGACACCCCACCACCCACCTCATGACACCAACACCCCAAAACACCCTTATGACACCCCACCACCCACCTCATGACACCAACACCCCAACACACCAATGACACCCCACCACCCACCTCATGACACCAACACCCCAAAACACCCTTATGACACCCCACCACCCACCTCATGACACCAACAACCCAAAACACCCTTATGACACCCCACCACCCACCTCATGACACCAACAACCCAAAACACCCTTATGACACCCCACCACCCACCTCATGACACCAACAACCCAAAACACCCTTATGACACCCCCACCCACCTCATGACACCAACACCCCAAAACACCCTTATGACACCCCACCACCCACCTCATGACACCAACACCCCAAAACACCCTTATGACACCCCACCACCCACCTCATGACACCAACACCCCAAAACACCCTTATGACACCCCCACCCACCTCATGACACCAACAACCCAAAACACCCTTATGACACCCCACCACCCACCTCATGACACCAACACCCCAAAACACCCTTATGACACCCCACCACCCACCTCATGACACCAACAACCCAAAACACCCTTATGACACCCCCACCCACCTCATGACACCAACACCCCAAAACACCCTTATGACACCCCACCACCCACCTCATGACACCAACACCCCAAAACACCCTTATGACACCCCACCACCCACCTCATGACACCAACAACCCAAAACACCCTTATGACACCCCACCACCCACCTCATGACACCAACACCCCAAAACACCCTTATGACACCCCACCACCCACCTCATGACACCAACAACCCAAAACACCCTTATGACACCCCACCCACCTCATGACACCAACACCCCAAAACACCCTTATGACACCCCACCACCCACCTCATGACACCAACACCCCAAAACACCCTTATGACACCCCACCACCCACCTCATGACACCAACACCCCAAAACACCCTTATGACACCCCACCACCCACCTCATGACACCAACACCCCAAAACACCCTTATGACACCCCCACCCACCTCATGACACCAACAACCCAAAACACCCTTATGACACCCCACCACCCACCTCATGACACCAACAACCCAAAACACCCTTATGACAACCCCACCCACCTCATGACACCAACAACCCAAAACACCCTTATGACACCCCACCACCCACCTCATGACACCAACAACCCAAAACACCCTTATGACACCCCCACCCACCTCATGACACCAACAACCCAAAACACCCTTATGACACCCCACCACCCACCTCATGACACCAACAACCCAAAACACCCTTATGACACCCCCCACCCACCTCATGACACCAACAACCAAAAACACCCTTATGACACCCCACCACCCACCTCATGACACCAACACCCCAAAACACCCTTATGACACCCCACCACCCACCTCATGACACCAACAACCAAAAACACCCTTATGACACCCCCACCCACCTCATGACACCAACAACCCAAAACACCCTTATGACACCCCACCACCCACCTCATGACACCAACACCCCAAAACACCCTTATGACACCCCACCACCCACCTCATGACACCAACACCCCAAAACACCCTTATGACACCCCCCACCCACCTCATGACACCAACACCCCAAAACACCCTTATGACACCCC